TCATGCCTCTAGGCAACCATCCCTCTTGTCATGGCCTCCCTTTTTCAAAATCTATCGCGCATACTGTGGGCCCTGTACCCCATGAATGCACGAGTAGATTCAGGTTTCGTGGCTCGTCGGTGGCACTATTATGGGTCTCAATCACATATCGTAAATCTGTATACGTTGTCCCTTACTTCTCTTGCCGCGCAACAGGGGATATCCTTATTCACATCGTTGGTCTTTACGAATTTTACTGATCCTATTCACCGACACACTCCTTCCGGATGCATCGCGAAGAAACACGCATACTTTACCATTGCTTATTCGGTTGGGTTCATGCTAGCAGCCATAGCGGTCCCCCCTGCCCTGGCACTTCTAGTCGTGGTTATAGGGTTTCGGCTGATATCCGATCTACTAGGTTTGCTTCTCATTGCATGTTTTTTTGTGATTTTCTTTCTGTGGTTCGCGTTCTACCGGTATCCAGTCTTTGACATTATCTACCCAAGGCTAAAGAACAAAATGCTGGCTAAAAACGCCCAAGTTTATTCCGATATTTCTAAAGGGCCACCTCGTATCCGAGTTCTGCGGCTAAGACTAGGGAGATACGAAGAAGAGATCACATGCGACTTGATTGAGGGACCTCTTTCGTTCTCAGAATTTGAGGCACTCAGCTACGTTTGGGGTGTAAGCTTACGTTCATACACCATCCGGGTCGATGGAAAATCATTTTACATTTCATACAACTTGTATAATGCACTCAAAGAGCTGCGCAGCACTGAGCATGAAAGAATACTTTGGGTTGATGCTGTATGTATCAATCAACTCGACGATACAGAGAAGAGCACCCAAGTCCAGATGATGCGAGACATATACTCGAAGGCTTCCAGGGTGGTGGTGTGGTTGGGCGAAGCAGCTCCTGCTACTGGTTCTCTATTCGAGTTCGTACAGCAATTCGGGATTGCAAAGACCGAGGAAATCGAAACACTTTGGGATAATCACACTATGCAGCCGACGTGGATCAGCATGAGGGCAGAATATCTCCGTATCTTTGAGCATGGCTGGTGGGGTCGTGCCTGGGTTATTCAAGAGGTAGTCGTTGGGCGTCACGTGGTCATACATTATGGTCCCTTCCAAGTTGATTGGGAAGCTGTCCACAAACTATTCACGTACAGCCCCTTTGCAAACGGCTTGTTCAGTAATTACAGGGCCCCTTTATTCACTAAATATATTCAAAGCCTCAGAGAAGAGGCAAATGACGCTGAGGATTCCAACGTCGCACTAGGTGACCTCGTCATCCGCTTTCGACGACAATTAGCCACATTTGGATCTGACAAAATATACGCCCTGCTTGGTTTACTACAGTCGGATAACCCATCTCTAATAATGCCTGATTATAGCAAGCCGCCGGATGAAGTCTTCCTGCAGTTTACCGAGTCTTGTCTAGTCCACATGAGAAACCTGGACATACTCAGTTATGCTCCTGGGGCGCAACTTCACGATGCGAGTTGGTGTCGAGATTGGCGACTCAGCTATGATTATCCGTTTATTTTGAAGGCCAAGAGATTGCTAGATCTTGAATTATCCAAACCGTTCTCGGCATCGGGACGCGATCCCCCACACTTCGTAATTGATCTAGAGCATCGTATTCTGGCAGTCGCAGGTTGCAAGATTGACGTTGTGGCAAGAACTGGAATCGTTCCAGTAAGAGGACCCTGGCAAAAAATTGATTGGGACCAGGTTTTGCGCAGCTGGGAGTTTGTCGCTAGTAAGGAGCTAGGGCATGCAGAAACATCTGCTATGAGAGAATCCTTCAATCGCACAGTCACTGCGGATTGCTGGCAGATTGAACCTATGGACTGGAGAAAAAGAATTAAGCCCCTGCAGGAATATCCACGTGACGATGAAGATAGAGATTATAGGCTCGCGGTGTACAATGCCTGTATCTGCCGCCGATTCTTTGTTACTGAAGATGGAAGATTTGGCTTGGGTCCATGGGATATGAAGAAAGGAGATACCGTGGCTGTTCTCTTGGGCGGAAAGACACCCTTCTTACTGCGACACTGCGTCAACAGGCGTTCGGCAAAGATTCCCGCTGTTACGTATCACAAGCTCGTAGGCGAGGCTTTCGTGGACGGGCTAATGTACCAAGACGGAAGTTTGCAGGATGACAGCTTGGAGAACTTCTTCTTGATATGAATTGCTCGACCAATGTCCGGAAAGCACTTAATATTTGGATGATATTAGGGGTGTTATCGGGGTTCAGCGAATCAAGCGAGCTAGTCCTGGATAGCCAAGGTGAAGGTGGGGCGTCGACTGGTTGCAACACCAACCTCGCGGTATCGCCACCACGTCATGTGCAACTGACGGTTGCACGCCACTTGCGCACTGTTCCGCGTATTGGCACCAACAGGATCCTTTATTAACGCTTTTGAGGTACTTTTAAGCAGCCAACCCATAAAGCTTGCGGTCCGCCACGGCCCACGGCTCCACATCTGCCGATCACCGTTTCTCCTGCTTGTTCGAGCATCGACCTTGCGCTAGCGATGGCACACTACTTTAACCACCTTCCTGAATCATGGCCAATTCGCCAGTCTCTGATATGTATGGGCAGGGGCGGATAGTTATCATAGCTGTTGAAGCTCGGTCTTCGTTCGTGTGCGATTACACTATATAAAAAGCGCAGTCGTGCCCGTTCTTCGCTCCAAGTTGGCGACCAACGCATTCACACCATGCGTCTCTCAATTGCAGTCGCAGCGGTCCTTTCCAGCCTACAGGCTGTTTCTGCGCTCAGGCTCTCACCAAGAAACATTGCGGACAGGGAGCAGGAGGTAAGCCAACCTTTCTATTGTTTGTGTAGCCCAAAGTTCAGACGAGAGCTAGTCATCAGTCTATTGTCCTCTTCCTAGCTGCGACGAGGAGTTAATTTTCATACTATCGTCATCTGGTGCTTACTCGGCGAAATTCGAGCGAAACAGAGTCGACGCCCAATGGCACGATGCTAAATATATTGGACCGGTGAATCTGACAGGATAATTAGTTCCAAGCACAGACTCGTCGCAGTCTTGCAAAACGCGAGGACACCGACCCGTCCCTGCTATACCCGGAACGTAACTTGTCTGTACCAGTTGACTTCTTCCACAACGAGACTCGTTACGAGCCGCACAGCAATGCATCTTTCAACTTGAGATACTGGTTCGATGACACCTACTACAAGCCAGGCGGCCCTGTATTTGTCCTTCTCAGCGGAGAAACCAGTGGAGTGGGTCGCCTACCTTTCCTCCAAAAGGGAATTGTACATCAGGTCATCAAGGCTACTAATGGTCTAGGCGTCATCCTGGAACACCGTTACTATGGAAAAAGTTTCCCTGTTCCGGATCTTAGCACCAAGAACATGCGCTTCTTGACAACGGAGCAATCTCTTGCTGAGATTGACTACTTTGCGAGGAACGTCAAGTTTGACGGAATCGATGCGGATCTGACAGCTCCAAACACCCCCTGGGTTGTCTACGGTGGATCTTATGCCGGAGCGCAAGCTGCGTTCCTGCGCGTAGTCTACCCAGAGACCTTCTGGGGAGCAATCTCGTCATCAGGTGTCACCAAAGCCATCTATGACTACTGGGAGTACTTTGAGCCCGCCAGGCTTTACGGACCTCCGGACTGTATCAAGAACACTCAACTCTTGATCGATGTGGTCGACGGCATCCTGTTGCGCCAGAACGATACTTCCTTGGTCCAGTCGCTCAAGAATGTCTTTGGCCTAGGCCGTATTACGGACAACCGCGACTTCGCAAACCAGCTCACTGGTGTCTACGGTCTCCAAAGCACAAGCTGGGATCCCGAGGAGAATTCTCCCTCGTTCTTCAACTACTGCCAGAACATCACCAACGAGGAGCCTGTTGCCGAAAATCTGCGTCCAGAAGTTGCTAAGCTCGTCTCAGCAGCTGGCTACCCCAACGACACAGCAGTCCAGGACATAACCCTCAACGCCATTGCCTGGCTCAACCGCACCGCAGTTGCAAACTGGCGCGAATCAGACGTGTCCCAAGACCAATTCTTTACGACAACCAACACTACCGCCCTCCAGTCAGCCAGTTCGCTCGAAGACTACCCTTATGTAAGCTGGAACTACCAAGTCTGCACCGAATGGGGCTACATCCAAACTGGCAATACACCCAAGGACATCATGCCCTTGATCTCGCGCACCCTCGACCTCGAATATCTCACCTTCTTCTGCCGCGCACAATTCGGCATCGAGACCCCTCCGGATGTTGAGCGCGTCAATAAATACGGCGGGTTCGACATTGCATACGAGCGCCTCGCTATTATCGGTGGAAACGCCGATCCCTGGAGGCCTGCAACCCCATTGTGGTACCCGGATAGCCGCAAAACCTCCACTGATGAGCCGTGGTTGCTTATTAGCCATGGCGTGCATCATTGGGAAGAGAACGGTATCTTTGAGAATCAGACTACGCCTGATTTGCCGCCGCCACAGGTTGTGTATGCGCAGCAGTTTTTGAAGAACTTTGTTGTGGATTGGCTCGAGGGTGAGTAATTGAAATATATACCTGGTGTTATACTTTGCTAACGATATGACAGAATTCGAGGACCAGAAGACTCAATCTGAGCTTCGCAAGTAATGTAATGAGAAGATGAGGGTTTTGATATTGAGGCTATTAAGGTTTATTCATGCCGTAATTCCGGCTTGATCAAGATGAGAATGTAGTAGATGTAGTGTCAACATCATGAAATTCCATCTCTCACGAACGCAAGTTCTAGACCTTCAAGATGATTGAGTCAGATGATAACATTGATCCTTGTTCATTTCAAGAGCCCTCGTTCCGTTCCGTCTGCATCCGCCTTGGCGATTATTTATTTTGAAAGCAGATCATTCTATGCGTTTGTGTCTTTGGAAAGGGCCGAATATCGCCCATGCTGGCGATCATAATTCGAACTAGAATGGTTGATGATAGTATGTCATGAGATTGGGTAGGACAACTGGATATAACTGCCTTCGACCTTCAAACAATCTTAATCAGAGCCAAAAACTCGCATCCTTCAGGTAGGTTTCCAAATGGCCAAGCAACTCTCTTCTTAACATCAGCCAATATAGCCAAAGGTTCAGCGTGATCGACCCAAAAATCCGTGTCCGCACAACACACTGCACCATCGTCTACACTGCCGAAGATACTGCCCCTGAACTTAGCGTCTCTTACGTACTGTACTGGCGACAGAGCCATGATACCAGCACCATGTTCCTTTACAAAGCTCATATCGACATTCTCAATTCCCTTGCCCCACGCACGCAACCCTGCCACAATAGCAGCTGGATGCGACGACAAAATGCCAAAGGCGTAGTCCTCATCCTCACGGAGGCGACGTAGTAACTACACAAAGTCAGCAACATCGCCCCTATCGAATTCTTCAACAGCAAAAAGATGTCCTCAGTCAACTACAGAGCTCGTAGCTGAATACACTTATGGTATTCACTGCGACACGTGATGTAGGTAGAACAAAAACACTTACCTCCGTCGCAAGCCCCCTCCTCCGATACTCAACCTTCACACAAAGCTGCGTAACCCAGCAAACTCTCCTCCCCTCGTACATCCAGCGCGTCACAAATGCATACCCAGCAAGCTCATCGCCATACATGCCGCGAACGAGCACGCTATTAGTGCCCGGGGCTAAAGACTGCGACCGGAGACGCTCGACGGATAGCCGGATTCGCTTACCGTGTTTGCAGTGTTTGCCTATTCTTTGTTCGGCGTGAGAGCCCCAGATGCCGTAGGCGGAGGAGAAGATGGTGGCGCATTGGGAGAGTATGTGGGAGGTGATTTGGGGGGCGGGGAGGATTTCGAAACTGAAGGATATGGTGGGTGGTGAGGAATTGAGATTGCTGTGTAGAGAGATTGTGTTGGGTGACGGGGGCATGGTGGGGATGGTGAGTTTTTGTTTAGATCTTTCTTTTTAAGAAGTAAGGGTGTTGGTGATGCTGGGAGGAAGAAGGAAGATGAAGGGTGCTAGTATTTTTTTCTTTGGCTAGAGAAACAAGAGGAAGGCGGCCACGTCTGAATTTTACTTATCTGTTCACAGAACCATGGGCCGCAAGACGTAATCTTCTGGTCCCCTAAGTTAACGAAGCCAATCACATGGATTTGAAGATAAATTTCTGTCTCACACGTTTTTGACAAGAAAATTATGATCGAAAAATCTATCTCCTTTTAGCATTAACTATTGATTTTGCTATTTGCAAAATCTTATCTTCTAGGGTGAAGATGTTAGAATCCCTCATTCCGAGATAGTAATTTACTATTTTAACAAATTTTACAATCAACCTCGTTTTCTTAAAAGAGATAGTGGTGGCTAGGTAAATTGTAAAGAATAAGTTGAGGTACACTAAACGGCGGGTATGCATAATCGCTTATGCATACTCTTTGTTATTGTAGCCTGACACTAAAAGGAGGCAAACATACCTTGATCGCAGACCCCCTAATAATAAGCTAAACCTAGCGAAAAAGACGCCTATTGGGGGAAACTTGTACTACATGATCACAGCTAGGAGTCGGCCATCCCATATGCTAGTCTTTCTCATTTCCATAACCCTTCGTACCAAACTGGGAGCCATCAGTGAACTTGCTAGGTACGGTAACAGAATTAGAGCGTTTGGTTCTGGTGGTAGTAGGCATCGAAGCCTGCTCCTTCCTCAATCACGTATGTCTAGTTACATTTCCAGACACTTTCGGTATCTCCCAAGATCCGATGTTCCACTTCCAGCATATCGATAACTCATCTTCTCTTCCGAGTCAGCTTTCCCTTGTTCATTGTGTCTTGTTTCCCACCTCATGACAACTGGTACCCATAAGAAGATAAGTAGCAAGACGGTATAATAAGAACAGTATATTCCGGCCCTAACATTGTGTTCATTTTGAGAACTTGGGACTAAGAGATTATCATCAGATTATGTCTTCAAAGATCTCCTCATCCTTTATCTTCAACTCAAACGATGAACGTGCTTCGACCACTTTTCTCAAGTACTCCTTCCCTTAGTCCCCATTCCATGTTTCCCGAAGCACTCACTTACATCCACGGACCCAACTTATAACATGTCCGCTATGCCGTTCGCTCTAAGGTCGAAATAAACGTTAATAGCCTCATATAAGCACTTTCCCCTTTTAAATTCCATGCTAACCCCAAAATAGAAGTGACTAATTATAATTCCAATACCGTAAACGTGCGCAAACGGCATTTCCCGTACTTCATCCCTGTCCCCCTTCCGAGACCGCTAGTCACACGTATCTATTATCCGCGTACTATTAGATTTTTTCCTCTGAGAATGACAAAAGGCATTTAGTACAACTCTATAATCGCCTTCAAAGCTGTGATCACAACACCAGTCTGCAACGCTGAGAATGGTGGTAACAAACATCTGGATATTGTACTAAACGCGGAGCAAAGCTCACCGCAGCTATACCGAGAGAATTAAGCTTTATTTTCTAGAAGTAATAGGAATCCAGCGCATGGAGCATATGCGGTGAGAAAATGCAAAAAAGACGGCTGGTTAAGTTTGTCATGGAAATTAACCGTAAGCAACCAACGCAGTGACATACCTCCCGCCACCTATAATTACACTAGCGGTCACCCATTCTGGGTCAGACACCAATATTCAACAAGCTCCTGATGACAGAGTTTCGGTTACTAGGGTCGAGCTAAGAGGAAACGGGTTGGCGGGTGATGTCTCGGTCACGTTTGCATGCCGTTAACGATCTCACATTGAAAAGTCATACTGTACACGGACCTGGCTGGCGGAGAAGGATGGCATGTCAAGAGGTATAGAGTCTAGAAGCTTGATATGAGAAGCGGGAAGAAAATGGTAAAAACTACATAAAGACAACACACCATCTTATACAACAGAACTCCATCCACGCTCACCCATCCAACCATCCCTCTCTTTCTAAACCCAACCCTCAAAAAAAACGCCAACATCTAATCTCCCTCTCACAAACTTTCAAAATGCGTCTCACCCCCATCACCCTCGCCCTAACCACCCTCTCCACAACCTCCGCCTTCATCTCTGGCATCACCGTCCCCGCCACCATCGCCCCCAACAAACCCTACACCATAACCTTCGACGAAAGGTTCGACTCGTCAAACCTCTGGACCGACGTCGCCGTAACATGGGGCTACAACAATCCCCCTGGCAGCATCAACAGCGTAGGGCAATACGCAACCATTTACCACCTGCCCCCGAACCCCAAGCAGGCGCCGGTGAAGCTGACGACGACGGCGCCGGATCATATTCAGCTGTTTAATAAGCAGAAGAAGATTGAGATTGTGGCGGCGGTGTTTACGGTGGGGTCGTTTGTTGGGAATGTGGGGTTTACGACGTTTAATGTTACGGTGGATGTTGGGGATAAGGTTAGTGATAAGTTGGTGTCGAGCACGGGGTTTCTTGTGGCGCCTTAGGGTGTGTGATGGATAGAAAGAGGGAAGATGGTAGCGGTGTAAATAATCATAGAAAAGAAATGAATTGTGAATATGATGGTTCTTAATGTCTTTGCCTTGAGGGAATCAGTTCACGATGTCACAGACACCAAAATTAAGATATTGTTTATACTTGCCTTTGGTTGTGATTATGTCATTAGATTGGAGTTTCTGTCTTCTATAAACTGCCTGGTAACATTTATTTGCAAGTATAAGTCGTGACCATGCCACCTCACAACGAATAGTTCTTCCCATACTGCTCCTTCTGGCTCATTGCAGGCTTCCACTCAAAGTGATACTTGCCTTCCACGGGCTTCTTGACGTTTGGATCTGTATCATCCTTCTTGTCAAACATGTGGCTACCAAAGTAGTCGAGCTCAGCCTCGTAGAATGAAGTGGGCAGATCAGTTCCGCTGACAACTTTGAAATACTCTAACGTTGCGCCGATAGCAGGGACCACCTGATCCGTCTCGACCGACTTGGCCACGACTCGCCGAAGTGCCGGGAAGCATTTCTTAACATCCTTGGCAACGCGAGAAGAGAAGTTGAAATTCAGGTCCTCAGAAGATGGCTTCGACTTCAACACAGGGGCCAGAATCTCATCGGAAATGTAATCTGCTTGAATGATGCAACCAGCACGCCAAATCTGCCAGACTTGCGAGTAGTCAATCTCCCATTCATGTGCTCGGTCTGCAGTGGCAATGACATTGATTCCTTGAATGTAACTGGCGAGGCAAGCTGCGTAGGTCGCTTGCCGTAAGTCTTCGATAAAGGCTTTCTTGTCAGAGACGGTAAGTTCATTGGGCGGGAACCCACCATCGAGTGTTTTGTTCGCCTTTTCACGATCGCCACGGAATGCAGATGCTAGGCGGAATGCGTGGGAGACATTAAGGGTAGGAGCTGAAACGTGTAGGTCGATGGCCTCGGTATTGCTCCATACACCGGTGCCTTCTTCGCCAGTCACATCTTGGACAACCTTGTCAAGGACTTGGGAGATCACGAGACGTCCTTCATCTCGTTTGTGCGATAAGTCTGCGCCAATAGAAACAAGGAAGGTACCTCTCTATATGTGTTGTCAGCGTGCGACACGAAGAAGTCGTAAAACTAAAACCCACCAGCTCGCCTTCCGAGTTCCATTGTGCAAGCACATCGCCAATCTCCTCATCACCCATACCCATTTTTCTCATGATGCCCCAGGCCTCGGAGATTGCACTCATCATGCCATGCTCAATGCCGTTGTGCATCATCTTGACATAGTGTCCGGCACCGCCCTTGCCAATGATACCAACACATGGCTGTCCGTTTTTGTCTTTGGCTGCAACCTTTTGCAGAAGGGGGAGAACTTCGTTGAGTGCGGAAATGTCACCACCGGGACACATTGAGGGCCCGGCCCTCGCAGCTTGGTAGCCACCACTGACGCCACAGCCAATGTAGCGGATGCCAGTGCCCTTGCACTTGTCTTGCCTGCGTTCTGTATTTTCAAAGTGCTCATTGCCACAGTCCAGTATGATGTCACCGTGAGAGAGGTGGGGCTCCAGGCCCTCAAGGACCTTGTCACCAACGCCGCCATGTGGAAGAGAGAAGACAAGCAGGCGTGGTGATGACAGTGACTTGCAGAGCGAGTCGTAGTCTGCATTTGTTAGTTTCGCGCCGTGGAGATGTTAGGCGAGACAGCGGACCTGTGTACTTGTCTACTTTTCCATGATAGCCTTGCTTTTCTGCCTTTTGCATGACAGCATCCATGGCCTCCTCCGAAGGGTCTGAGAGGGAGACATGGACTCCAATCTCAGCGAAGAGCAGGGCCATACCACCACCCATACTGCCACAACCGATCATAGCAATCTTTTTGAATCAGTTAAGGCAAGCTCAGTGGGAGTTGGTATACAAACATGTGTGAATTGGGACATGGTAGCTAGCGTGCTCTCTCTTCCTCTAGTTGTGACGAACGCAGGGAAATGAGCAGCGAAGAGGCGAGGATGATAAAGTATAGAGTGGTCAAAGAAGAGAAGCTTGGAAGACTCGGGTCTTGATAGTGCACGTATTTGTCGAGAAATTGCAGCATGGTGAGATTGGGGCGTTTCAATTCTTCTGTCACGTAACGACAACAGTGACGTCGGTGGGGTTGGTAGCTCAAGTGATAGTCAAGTGGAGGACGGGTGGCCCTCTTATTATAGGCGCTCCGGCAGGGCTCGGACAAGTGGATACAATAATCATTTTGAATGCAGGAAGCACGCAGGCGTTGGGAATTCTGGTACCTTCCCGGTTCCGGGCATTGGAGGGCAGTTGGCAATGCTGGGCGTTGAGTTCGCGGCGGGCAAGAGAAACCACCGGCGCAGGTTGACTAGCGCGAGCCGCTCGGCCAGGGCAGCTTTTGGCGATGGGAAAGCTGCAGCATCCACAGTCACCCACTCTCCACCAATCAAGCAATCTTCAGCCAACCACACACCGCAGCCATGGAAGAAGACGCCAAAATGGACATCGATCAGCCAGAGCAGCAAGACGTGCCGGCTGCCGACCCCAAGGCCAGCGACGCGCAGACAGCAGCGGGCGCAACAGCTGTGCGCTCCATCGAGGGCTGGATCATCATTGTCACCAATGTCCACGAGGAGGCGACTGAGGAGGATCTCCAGGACATGTTTGGCGAATTTGGCACTGTTAAGAACTTGCACATGAACCTCGACCGTCGCACGGGTTATGTCAAGGTACGCGCCTGAGCCTGTCCAAGGACCACCGTGTCATGGCTAATGCTGAACAGGGCTACGCACTGATCGAATACGCCACATTGGACGAAGCAAAGGCGGCCATAAAGGGCGCCAACGGCGAGGAGCTTCTCGAGCAAAAGGTCACCGTCGACTATGCTTTTGTACGACCACCACCAGCCAGCAAGGGCCGTGCGCGCGACCATGACAGGAGACAGAGCGGGCGTGGTGCGGCGAGGGCAAGGAGCAGGAGTCCGGGTCGCGACGACATGGACGACGAGTAGTCTTTTATGGAGCCAGCTTTGCGTATTGATACCACACCTTGGGGACACCTTATACAGCGATATGGAGGCTTGGATGCATCATCTTGGAAGCCGCTCGACAGTGCAGGTCGCCAGCAGCCTTGTATCAGGAATTACAATACGAGCTCACCGGCCTGGCCCTCCACGAGCCAGGTCGGGCATTGACATGACTGTTGTGAGTACATGTCATCTATTTATCTATCAAACGATTGGCTGACATCATGCTAGGCCACTTCACTTGTGATTTGACGGAAAAAGTTCATGTGACTAGCATTGTGATGTTGTGAACCGAATACGCGCCCCATAAAAGTGAACTAGTAGAATGAGCATGCTGTCTTCAAGACGCGTCTGAAAAAGTCGTCACGATGTACGTGTAGTCGGCAAAACTTGCCCCACTCACAACTGCCCGCCAATCCAGTCCATCCCTCATATTGTCGGACTGCACAGGATTATGATAAGCATTCAGCACTAGTGCGGCTATCGGCATCTTCGCCATTCTTTAGAATCTTCACGAATGAGCTTTTTGGGCTTTTTAGTCACCAATGCCTGTAAAATCCTAGAGTGATGGGTTGAATCCAGGTGTCTGGGTTCAAGGTTCGTGTTAGATTCGTCTTCAAAAAACATTGCAACTGGGAGGTCTAGATTGATGTGCTCACTTCCTAAATCAATAGATATGAGCTGCTCCCTCTGTGGCGCCTAGAGTGGTGAGTAGTTGATAAAAAATTACACACTTTGCTGGACATCTGCTTCCATCTTCATTGAGTAGAAGAACATGAAATTTAATAGACACTTATTCGTACTCAGCAGCACAAAAATATGCCATTATACACGTCAGCCATGGCTCTCTGAAAGCAGCATACCAAGGTTCGAAGTAGGTGCTTCTTAGGAAGGGACTGGAAAGGCCCATCCCAACTGGCTATCCCCCAGCACAGAACTTCATTAGTACCCACCAGCTCCACACACTGCCCGTCCCTGACCCAATATCTTAATGAGACCCCCTATTCAAGCAAGCAGCCTATCAAATAAGCCCTTTGCATGATCCTTTGGTCCCTCATTCCGCGCTCCACTCGGACATGCGGCTGACTAGTAGAGAATTCATCTTCAAGTGCCATGTACCCCACTTAAACAGATAAAAAATATTTCCAGTCCAGAGCAGCAGGATCCCAACTTTCCGAATTGTATCTCATATGCTCTCTAGTGGCTTAAAATGCCTTTCTAAGCGCGCAAAACTCAATACAGATTCAACCCAATTTTCAAATACACCATCTATCACTCTCCGGTAAGATGGCCGAGCGGTCTAAGGCGCTAGCTTCAGGTGCTAGTAGAGAAATCTGCGTGGGTTCGAATCCCACTCTTATCAGCATATTCTTTTTTTGCCCTTTCGCGTTGTCGTTGTCGTGGTGGTGGTTGTCGTGGAAGAGTTCCTCTATTTTTTTAAACGAGTTGGGATGAATTGGGGGTCTGTGCGTTGGACCACCACGCGATGGGGGCGGGGCGGGGTGGCAGCTAGGTCTGGGCGCGGCGTTGGAGATGCCTGCTCCCCCACGTATGGATTACATACTGCAGAAGTGGGAGAATATGCAGGTGCTGGGCGTGCTGTGTTGTAGCGTCTTCTCTGCAACTTAGCAGTGTACCACATTTGTTTTTAGAAGGTTTACCATCGATGGATTGTCGTTCTCCAAGGATAAATACACCCAGGAACAAGAAGCAAAAAAAAGCGCCGGAACATGCAAGCGCGGCAAAAGGTGGACTTGGCTAGGTTCGTATCAGCCTCAGACAAATCGCCGCCCCCAACCTTCTCCTCTTTTACCATGACTTTGCTCGCTCTACCGGTTAGAGTTCTTCACTGGGGCCGTTCTGCCCGTTGGATGTTTTTGCTGTAGGATTTGCTTCTTGCGCGCGTGAGCACAGATTACGTACTTCGCAAGGGGGTTACGCGTCGCTGGGTGTTTTGGATTGGCTTGGTAACTTGAGTTGAGAAAGAGCTTCGGAAATTTTGGGGCGTTGAAGATGGCGTTTTCTATTGTCGCGCCAGTCTGGCGGTTGAGGATGTTGTTATCGTTGCTTGTGATTACGTTCGTGACGGGGCTGGTAGCTGGTACTTCACACCATCAAGACGGACAAGGTGAGGCTGAGAAATGCAGTCCGGTGATTGCGAGCTCACAAAAGTCCTCTAGGAGATGCTCAAACAAACTACAAGTTCGACATACATGATGGATCGCAGTCACCTCTACAAGCATCGCCTGAAGGTTCGCCATCAACACCCCAGGGAAATACACCAGCCAGCCATTCCCTCACAAAAACCAACATCCTCCAAGACCTGTACTCCGCCCTCTCCACAATGCAAGACCACTACTTCGCCATCTGGCTCGGCAAGTACACCACTGCAATCGACTGGACCGGAGCCGTAACCTCGACCTACATCTCGGCCACGCTCTCCACGCTCTCCTCCACTCTGCCCAGCACTTTCTCCCGGACCCGCAAACACGAGATGGAAGCCTTTGTACGCGAAAACGAAATTAACAAGTACTTCTCCCAAACCACAGCCTACTACTTTGGCGAAGACCACTTCGCAATACGCATGCAAGCCTACGATGATATGCTGTGGGTAGTCCTAGGCTGGCTCGAAGCAAGCAGATTCATCGAAACGCATTCTTCATCCCACCACTCCGCCTCATCCAGCAACTCAGACAAATCCTGGCACGCCCACCAATTCATCCCAGCCTTTGCCCACCGTGCACGCATCTTCTACGAACTCGCCGAAAAAGGCTGGGACTGGCGCCTCTGTGGCGGAGGCATGACATGGAACCCATCCCTCCTACCGTATAAAAACGCAATCACGAACCAACTCTTCATTTCCGCCAGCATAAGCATGTACCTTCACTTCCCCGGCGACCAAAACTGTTCACCATTCTTCTCCCAGTCGCCCTCTTTATCCTCCAACAACCGCAGCAATACCGTTGCCTCGCAAGACGCTGACGATGACGATGGCTGCCTCGACAACCCCCACACCCGCCCCCGCTACTCCCCCATCTACCTCGCCAACGCCATAAACGGCTACACCTGGCTCCAGCAAAGCGGCATGCAAAACGCCCAAGGCCTCTACACCGACGGCTTCCATATCACCGGCTACCGCACCAACCACAGCAAAACCGTGTGCGACGACCGCAACGAAATGGTCTATACCTACAACCAAGGCGTTGTACTTTCGGGTCTCCGCGGCCTCTGGGAAGCCACTGGAAAAACACAGTATCTAGAAGACGGACACGAGCTCGTGCGAAACGTTATACGCGCTACAGGCTGGGATATCTCTTCCTCCTCACCATCTTCCCCACCAAAACCAAAAGGCAAAGAAGAGGAAACGAAATGGCACGGCCTCGGCAGCAACGGTATCCTAACCGAACTCTGCGACCCAACCGCCCACTGCAACCAAGACGCCCAAACCTTCAAAGGCATACTTTTCCACCACCTAACCGCATTCTGTGACCCCTTGCCCCGTAAACCAGCACAACGCGGTAAGACGCACAGCGCGAGTAGGGCGCTCGCGGCGTTGCATCGCAATAGCTGTAAGGCGTATACCGGGTGGGTGGTGCATAATGCGCAGGCTGCGTTGGCGACGCGGGATCGTGAGGGTAGGTTTGGGGGGTGGTGGGGTGCGAATGAGGGTGAGCGAGAGGGGTGGGAGGTAGAGGTTGGGGTTAATGCGACGGATTATCGGAATGGAGACACAGGAGAAGGGGAAGAAGGGGATGTGTATGGGAAGAGGGAGAAGGTGCAGTTTATGGAGAGAAGGGTGGGTGGGGATTTGAATGATCGGGGGAGGGGCCGCACGGTTGAGACGCAGGGGAGTGGGTTGGCGGTTGTGCGTGCTATGTGGATTTTTCTTTGGCGAGATGAGGTTGGGGTGGTTGAGTAGGGGGGATGAGGATGTGGAAATTGATGTATATCAAGATGTCATGACTTTTCAATGCTGTAGCGATATTTTTTCTACTTCCCTTGCTTTGACCAAGCAAGATCATCACAGAAAAAAGGAAAAGTTTGCAATCGGAACCCTATAAAGGGTACTCAAAAGAGCATCATTTTTACTCATTTTACAACTTGATAGTGTCTAATCCATCATAATTCTGTACCGATATCTCCATCTCCATCTACCTACATAATCCCTAATTCGCCAAAGCCTTTGAGCACCTCCTTATCCACCCGACTCAACCACTCGTCTTGAAACGCTTGTTCGCCACCAGCCTGTTGGATCGCTTGCTGTAAATGCTCCCTGACAAAAGCAACCAGATTGATCTGATGCACAGGATCGGTGTAAATGAGCTCACGCTTGCGCACATCTTCTGGGGCTTCGGGCTCTGTAGGGTGATAAGGCTCCGGAGGCCAGTAGAGAGAACTATATCGCGATTAGCACAAGCACAAAAAAAAGGAAAATCTCTTCAACATACTCTTGTGTCCGATCATCCATGCCGTCCAGCAACTCGCCGAGCACATCCGTCCAGACACCGATCAATGACTGCAACTTGGCCAGCATCCACGGCTGCCCGCCCTCCAAGAATCTGGTCAGGACAAGGCACATGAGTTTCTTGTTTGGTGCATCGCCAATGTTTTCAATATGGCTGAACCACTCCTCTAGCAACCAATCCAGCGTCTTTTCCAAGCCTTCGTTGGATAGAGAAGCAAGAGCTTCGAGAAGTACCGAAGGAGAAGCGACGCCGATACGGGCTAAGACAGTAAAGTAGTCTGTTTCTACCACGCCATCGACAGCACGAGAAGGTAATTCACGGTAGGGACCATGAGACTGGTGGTGCGTCCATGCGCCATGGAGACCTTCCAAGACCTTTGCCAGAAAGCCAGTAGATATGAGGTCACTCGTCAATACCTTAATTGCTTCTTCGCCACCAACACCCTCAGCGCCACGAATTATACATGTCACAAGGTGTGTCATGATACCATTTGCCTCAGGCTTCAGACTGCCGAGTAGCTCTGCAAGTGCTTGAAGGACGGCAGGTCGGAAAGAGTCAGCTAACACTGCAGCAGGTGCGAGCAGAAGATAGGCTTCTGTGAGCTCAATGGCTTTGCGCAGAGTGTCGTTGTCCATGCTGAATAGTGGAAGAAGATACTGGAGCAGGCCGAGAAGCTCAGGTGGCGTGGGCTCAGGAGCAGATGGAGTCTGCGCGAGAATAGACGCCCATAGATCGAGTGCATCCTCGAGAAGGTAGACCTGGGTGTCTGAACCTGGTTCTATGGCGCTTTGAATGATGGGCAAGAACGAGACGTGGAATGAGCGTGAGTCAGCCTTCATAGCATTTGTCAGACGAGCAAGTATCGTTAGAATCGCCTGCTTCATGAGATGCTCTTCCCCAGACTGCTCCCACAGCGGCGGCAGGAGAGAAATGATGCTGTTAGCATATGGTGTAATCTGCATCGCGTCAGTCTCAGGACATACAGCATGGTTATATAACCTACGTGATGCTCCATTCTCTCAACAATCAGACTAATAGTATTGAGCAGCGCCATCTTTGTCTCTGGAAGCTCGACTTCTTGCACCAAGGCCATCAGCCTGTCTAACATGACCTGAGAAAAGGGCAAAAAGGCGTCAGCCTTGAATTCCCATTCGTCTGCAACAGCGTGGAACTTCCTTCCGGCTGTGATGCGGACAACCTGGTCGTTCAAAGGGTCGTTCTTGTCGAGCAAATGTTGGAATATCTGGTATACTATAGGCTTCTTCTCCTGCGCCATCTTGATGGTAATCCATTGAGAAATAATGATGGCGATACGACGACGAATGATGTTGAAGCCCGGTGTCTGTTTAGTAGCCTCTACAACGAGAGTATTTTCCAGAAAAGAGTCAAAGTCAAGCTTGTCGTGGAGTATGTCAGCTGCAAGGCCAATGGCTGTATACACCGAGTCTTTGAACAGGATGTCCTCATTCTGGGGGGCTGCAAGAGGTTAGCCAAAACTCACCGTATCTCGAGCAAGTACTCACTTGCGACAGAATAAAAGACTTGGAGAAGAGGCTGGATGATCAAATCTTTGAAATTCTTTGCGAGATCTAAGAACAGCTTTTCAGCGCAAGGGCGGATGGCGAATTCCCAGTCCTCTGCGCCTTCTTCCGTCTTCTCCCACTCATCGGGCTCCTCCTCCCACATGCGAAGGTCGCTGGGGCGAAAGACGAAAAAGCGCTGGACGAGTGCTGACATCATTTCTCGCACCAAGTCGTCTGTGAACAAGTCTGTACGGACCAAGTGCGTAGCTTGATTCTTTTCATCCTTTTCTTGTTGCTGCTTGTAGCGAAAGGTCTGGGTGGGATAAAAGACCATTTTTATACACGCACGTATCAACAACAACCCTTTGAGAGCAAGACGTTCGAGGATGGGTGCCTCGTCCTCAGCGTCGCCATCGGTACTAACTTTGGCGCCTTCTATAGACGTAGAGCCCCATTGCTCGCCTACCTTTGCGACCAGACTCCAGTAGTCGCGTGCAAGATCTAAAGAGTTTGGCAGGAGAACAAAGTCTGAGGGGTGAGTAGACGCCATGTTGAGGTGAAGCTTGGACAGCTGCATGAGGTGTTTTCCAATCTTCTTCTGTACCTCTGTCGCAAGTGGCGAGTTCTCTGGTGTCACATATTGTAGAAACTCACCGAGGTGAGTACGGGTTAGTGTCCAAAAGTCCTGAATGTCCTTGTCTCTGCCCGGGAATTCGTAGCCGGCAATGACTAGTCGCCTGATGGTCTTTATAGCGAGCAGACTATGGTCAATGCTCTCTATTGCACCGCCTTCATCGTCGCCACCATCGCGAAAGAAGGTCTGCCATGTTTGCACCTTACTCACATATATGGTCCCTAGGACATTGAATATTTCCGGAGCCACCGTATGCAGGCTCTGGCGGGTGCGTAGCAGGCGGCCTGTAGAGAGTTCTTTTATGATGTATAGGAGCACAAGGAGCGCACGGGGGAGTTGTAGTGCGTAAGCGTTGGGCTCGGTCGAGGCGCGGAGAATGTGGAGGAGTTGCTGGAACAGATCTGGCCTGAGAGAGGTGTTAGATATTACAAGTAGCAAGGCACGTAGCCAGACTGACCAGTCATTGGGGAACTCGAAGCGAACAATCTTTGCTACTACTAGGGCGTTTTGGAGGGCCAGCCGGGGATCCGCCTCGTTGACGGCGCTCTCGAGTAGACGTGCTCGGATAGTGGCCTTGTCTTCTTTTGTCACCGCACTGCCATATTATTAGAAGAGGTGTGGTGCGGTCATATGGATAGAGCGGTGGGCGTACTTGGTGGCAGTCTTGCGCCAGTACTTGTCGATACCATTCTTCAATTGTATAACGGCTAGGTAGCGCACTTCGAGCGGGAGGGAATGGTCGAGGAAAACGGACTGGATTGTGTCAGTATAGATATCACGTATATGCGTCACATTTGGTGTACCTGAAGCAGAGGGTAGAAGCCCTGTGTCTTTTCCCAGTGCTGCAGCTGCTTTGCGCCGCTCTGGACCTGCGTCTGGTCTGCGGACGAGGCGGAGCGCAGGACATGGAAGAGAATTCCCTCGGTCAGAGGATTGGCCTCGCCGGGGACTTCGACCTGGAAGCTGGCGCTCATCGAGTACTGTTGTTTGTTGTGTTTATGTATATATGCATTCACTGGGTGGATATGCGGCCGTGGTGGGGTAGTTCGAGATGCAGCACAGTGCGAGTGTGAAGCAGACGAAAGATTCAGAATGAGATGTTGCTATTGGGTGTATACAGTGAGCAATGAAGGCAACATGGGGGCCTGCTCACCCGGGGTCAGTGAATACTAGGCTGCAGGTTAGATGTCTGCTTGTTTGTTCGAGTCGAAGTAAATTCCATGTTTGCTGTCCCCGCGTCGCCAGCTCGGGCCTCTGCGACCGACGGTGAGAGCGGACTAGCAATTAAACTTTTTTGATATACTTATAGTACTACACCGGCCTAAGGACAGACACAAAAACAAAGAGGAGGAACGACCTTCTCTTTGCTCGAATCGCATACAGGCCATGCTGCGTGCTCACATACCCGTTGTTGCTGTGGCGTGTCTGCACTCCCCGGGGCCCATGGCGCCCATCGGCTTGTGCATGCCCAGCCAACCTCGGCCCATGGCCCTCCTCATCACGTTCCTCCGAGTACGAGTGCGCGACCGCGGCTCTGATATCACCACCTTCACCTCCGCCATCTCCTCCGCCGTCTCCTCCCGCCCACATCCCCCTCGCCACACCCTCATCTGCCCTGCCTGCGCCCGGCAGCCTCCCAATGCTTCCCGATGCACTCCGCAGACTTCGCCGCCGCCCAGCAACGCATAGCAGCCCGCCGCGCACAGCGCGCGCTCCAGCAGCGCAATCACCATGAGCCATCACGCCCTGCCCGCGCTCTCGCACGCCTTCCTTTCCCCTTAAACGCTGTCTCCTCGGCCGGATTCAATGTTTGGGACGCGATCAAGGGCCGCTCGGGAACGCGCCCAGAGTTCCGTGTCGGCCAGGTTGATGCCGAACTCCTCGACGAGGAGCTGCTGACGCTACTCAAAGACCAAGTCGGCGAGGGTCTGAAGTATTTTGGCTCACATGTCACCGATAACTACTCGGCCGAGATCCTGCTGCTGCTGCGCGCCGTACTGTGGAAGCTGAGCATTTGGGACCAGAATGCCAGTTACGGCGCCCATTTACAGGGGCTGCGCTATACCGATGCCCGCAGCAGTGCCCCCAATCGCCCGCCCCCGAAGCCCTGGCAGAAGATTGCCTATGGCGCCATTACTGTCGGTGGGAGATATGCGTGGACAAAGTGGGAGGAGTACCTCTTGTCCACGTCCGAAGACTACACACGGCCTGAATCCGCGCGCCTCAAACTGCTGGGCAGATTGAGTGAGTTGGCTGGGAATGCGCACGATGTGCTCGGTCTTGCCAGCTTCCTCGTCTTCCTCGTCGATGGTCGCTACAGAACAATCACCGACCGTCTCCTCCGGTTGCGATTGACCCCCTCGTCGCACTCAACCTCCCGCGAAGTCAGCTTCGAGTACCTCAACCGCCAACTCGTCTGGCATGCCTTCACCGAATTCCTACTCTTCCTCCTCCCTCTAGTCGGCATATCACGCTGGCGCCGCATTCTAAGCCGCACCTTCAAGAAACTCCGCGCAACCCTCTTTTCCCTTATGGGAAAATCCACCACCTCCTCCACCGAAGACGATGAAGCCAAAACCTCCGGCGAACTCGGCTTCCTCCCTGAACGCACCTGCGCAATCTGCTACCGCGACCAAAACCCCACCACCGCCACCGAGTCCGACATCATGGCCTCGTCAGCCGGCGGCGGCGGCGTCGTCGGCAGCGCAGCAACAGACATCACAAACCCCTACGAGTCCACCTCGTGCGGCTGCATCTACTGCTTCGCCTGCCTCGCCCAGCGCATCGCAAACGAAGAAGGCGAAGGCTGGACCTGTCTCCGCTGCGGCGAAAACATCACCGCATGCAGACCCTGGAACGGCGATATCATCGAAGAGCAGCCCCGGTTTACCCCTGCGTCCTCGCATGCAGAGGAGCATGAGCGACCCAACACTGCGAAATCTGTAGGCTTTGCGCGCGCGTCGCCTGACGAGGATGATGAGAAGACGCTGCTTAAGGAGGTGGAACCCATGCCTGAGCAAGATCACAGTGATGGAGAGGGCTTACTCGGTCCGTCGACCACGCAAGCTCGCGCGCTGGATCTCGGCGAATCACTCTTCACGGAGACGTCGGAGTGGGCGCGTGCCAGTGAGGCTAGCAGTAGCAGCGAGGATGAGCAGAGCGAAGAGTACGACGAGGATGAGCAGGAAGAAGGCGAGGAATTGGGCTTTTATGATCAATGATTCTTCCTTCATCGTTCTCCTTCTTTCTTGGCCACAAAACGATAATAGAAACGTGGAATTCTGACAAGAAAAAAAATGTGGCCTACCCTTTTACCTCGATGTTTGTCTTTCTTCTTTCCTCATCCTCGCGATTTACACATATGTACTGTTGTATAGCTTTGTTAGTTATACGGCCCCAGATTACACGTCACCTAATGCAAGATACCCTGATTTTGGTTCTTTGGAACATACATCTCCCACTCTCGTTCTCTTTCTGACTGACTGACAATGTTTATCTCAAAAAATGGACCGGATTATAGTCTTTCATTTTCGTAATCAGCGCTCGAAAGCTATGTCTCTCTCTGTCTCGGGCTCTGCGACATATACATGTACCGTCTGTATACAAACAAACATGGCTAGACTAGAAAACACATCCCTGTTTGCTTACTCGCGTCGCGTTCCATGTCTTGGGCGGGTAGAGAAGAATAAAAGAGATGTACATCCTTTTCCCTTTCGCGGCGCAATACCATCAATAAGCTTGTCATTCATCTTGTCTGGGCTCCCTTTCTCACGCCTCTTTAAAGGCAAGCTCTTCTTTTTTTCAAAAAAACCCATCCCCACGTGCATTCCTTTGCAATTGGACCAAGAAAAGATGTCAAGATACACCACGCACACTCCCATCAGCTTCGCTTCCCCAATCACGTCCGCATAAACTCCGCAAACCTTGGCAATGCCGCCATCTTCTCCTCGGGACTCGTTGTCTCGGCAAAGAAAATGAGCCGCTGGTTCTTGTCCTTTTTGCTCTTCTTCTCCTCCTTGGGCGCCGCCTCCTTGGTAACCTCGTTGATGAGATCGTCGACAGAATTGGAAATATCGCCGTTGGGTCCTGGAGGAAATGCACCGGGCGGTGGAGCGCCAAAGCCTGGTCGAGGTGGAAGCGCACCGGGTTGGCCTGGTATACTGCCTGGTCGTGTCGGTATGGCGGCGTTGCCGGGTGAGAAGGGTTGCGCGATGCCTTGAGGTGGGTATGCAGGAGCGCCAGGTGGGAAGGCCACGGGAGCGCCTGGAGGAGCGCCATAGGGCGGTTGAACGACTGGCGGAGTCTGATGAATTTGTTAGTCACATTCTCACTCTCTTCTTCTTCTCGACATGTACATACTGCATTCTGCACGGGCTCCACTGGCGGCGGGAGAACACCGTTCTTACGGTCCTCTCTAAACTTGGCCGCCCTCGCCTCAATCTCGTCCAGACTCTCGTTGATCTTGGGCCTCTTGTTCGGCGCAGCCTGACCATTTACGTACGCCCCGCGCATCGGGTTACCCGTTAACCGCGCGCGCTCCTGCTCCTCGGCGAAATGTGCTTGTGTGACTTGTTGGTTGTGCTGCTCTATTATCTCGGCGGGCACACCCTCCATGCCGAAGATCTCGAGCTCAAGGCCCTGGCGTCCTGGGTTGGCATTCTCGACGTGCGTGAGGTTCTCCTTATGGACCTGGTTCATGTGCACAGAGAGACCTGGTCAGATGTTAGGGGAGAGCGAGGCTTGTAGTATTGCGACGGCATACCTCCGGCAGTGTTCAGCCGTCGTCCGCAGCGGTCGCATTTGAAGTGTTTGGCTTTTTGGTGAGAGATGAGAATCTTCAGGTCGTCAAAGTCGCGCTCGCAGTAGTAGCACCATGGTCGCTGTCGGGTTGTCAATGCGTGTCTCGTGTACAATTCGCTCTCAATATGCTGACCTCTAGCTTCTGGTTCAGATCCGGATACCTCTTGCGCTTCTTAGTCATGGTTGCGATTTGGGCGTGATAGGGTGGGTGGGGAGTAAGTTATGGATTCTACCACAATCGCGGTCGGGGACGTCGCTCGAGGTGAAGCTACAGAGCTAGCCTAGCGCGTGGTGGTCCATGCGCCCGGCCTCTCGATGACTTTTCTTCGCACACATTCACCCTCCTTGTCTCTCCAACATCACATGGGCTAGCTTCAACAACCCTCTAGGACGAGGTGAAATGATTCATGTCCACTGTCGTAGTAATCGCTTTTTCTTAGGACGCAACTCGCACACCAGCCACTTGGTCTACGACACCTTTACAAGTCCCTTCGGGGAGCATCCCACAGCCTCGCGTCTTGCTTGGCTGTGGTGCATGCGGCTGTACTCCAGTACGTGCATTCTTGGTTGCAAGAACAAATAAAAAGGTCCTTCATAGTTCACACTTTACTGCTCTCCGGAGACTTTTCCACCGAGAGTGTGACTCCTTGGCTACCTACAATCGTGCGCCTTCAACCAGGGCCATTAAGCTAAAGTTGACATTGTTGTTTTCAAATGCTACCATGTTCCGAATGACATCAAGACACTTGCTTCCAAGAACATCTTCATCGGTTTCCAGTGTCCCAAGATCAATGGGACGTTTCCGGTCTCCATCGAGTTGGTAGAGATGTCCACTCTTGGATGACTGCACAAAAGCAACATAGTGATAATCCACCTCGTCTTCAGCATTGACTGGCGCATCCGTATCGCCCTGGATAGCTGCGTCAGCATATGCCTTCTCCAGCTCCTTGCTATTCTCCAGCGCTCTAGCCAGTTCATCTACATCATTCGTCAGGCTTGAGCTAAGCACTCTCCCAACAATCGAGCTGGACTCTGTACTGCGTTAGCCTTGTCTTCAATATCAATCAATCCCATTCAGACCTATCCTTTCTCCGACCTGCCCGTTGCATACAGCATGCAAAATAGCGTACAACCCACATGCATTGTTAATCGTCTGTCTGAAAAACACCACATCCTCGATTTGCTTGGTGCCTTGCAAACTCTCCAGCTTGGTATCCTCATCCTTGACTCGTTTTTCGTACGCCTCTGTCGTCGGAAGTATCAGAATCAGCCCATATACCGGTCGTGGCAGCATTCCAAGTAACTCTGGATCATCCAGGGAAAGAACATCGTGAAACTCTAACGACGCAGGTAGCCCTAGATTGTGCGCAAGTTCTGTGAATATTTCTGGGCTCGACTCGAGTGGGATGAAGTGCTTGCTGTATGTTTGCGTAGATTTTGCCATGTCGTTGGACGACTTTGATATACAGAGTGTCGTGATGAGAGAGAGTGTATTGGATCTGAATGTAGCGATTGGGTCTTGCATGGTTGCACTAGCTTTGACGAGGAAAGCTTGTTGCCTGGATCAATAATCACGTGTAATAGTGATGGATAAAGTGGTTGCGTCAAATGCTGTAAGATACTGCTGCTATGTTATATTCAATTGTTGTTCTATGAGAGTAAAATATCCTTTCCTATGAAAATGGTAGCTCGCTAATGTGAACAAATACGTTATAACGCCCCTCTTTATCTCCTCTAATAGCCTTTGGGTATTTCATACATTCGCTCTTTGGTCCTCATATTGCCGGACTGTTCCTAACACATGACCATATCTATCCTTGACTCGTTGCCTTGTTGTTAGTAGGCATGTGATGACACTCCACGCCAATATCGGTGAAATATGTAGAGAATGCCTACTAGCCATAAGGCGTAAATCGATCCCTGCCCACTCGTACCAAACTCTTGCTTAGACGCGTATACACTGTTCTCGTGCAAATGCAAATGAAATCAATACCCAGCGGATCCGCAAAAGACCAGACCCAAGAAGCTAAACGGCTTCATCGTAACACGTCAGCCCCTCTTGGCATGATTTTAGTACTCCAACTACGTGTTTTAGGGACTCTAGGCTACTGTCTGCTGAAGCTTGCTGCCAGTTTCCCAGTGCACGTGTTTGGAATCGCGATCGGCAGGTGTCTCTTGTGACGATGACGCGGCATGAGCTCGGGTCTTAGCGAGAAGAATCTGGTGGTCGATCTTGCGCTCAAGCATCTCGGTGAGGCTATCGAGGCCTTTCTTGAGACAGAAGCCACCTGATTTGTTGGTTGACGACTGTTGTTGTTGGGTTGGCGAGTTGTGAGGGGCAATGGGTGCGGGTTTTTGTTGCAGTGCGGAGTTGGTTGCCAGGACAAGCGCTTGAGAGGCCATTTCGAAAGCTTGTTGTAGGACTTTGTTGTAGGATTTACGAAGAACTAGGGCTGTGAATGTTGAGTGAGATGCAAATGACTTGTGAGGACTGTTTGGAATGGAAACGAAACAAGAGGTTGGGTCGGTGACAGCGTCCTTAAATAGAGCATGCTCTATATCTTAACACTGACCGCTCCGCCCCCGGCATCTTCGTAGTCAAGCTAATGAAAGGCCACATGCGATGGTCTGCGGCGATGCTGTTCTGTTTGCGTATACGCTCATCGTGGCTGAAGGCTGCGGAACACGCAACTGCGTATAGATTCAGCCAATCGGACCGTGACACCTAAATCTGACTGTTAGCCCAAAAGGCTCATAGCGCGCCCTTAATCCCCATGCTGTCAGCATCCATGCTTACCTTTGGCCAAACACTGTCAAAACCCTTTCTACGTGTAGCTGCATCTCGGTGTTCTCGGTAGCCCAAGATTTCCGTGTGTTGCAAGCCTCTGCCAAGATTTTTCAACCCCCAGACGGCCAGGATGTTGTACGAAGCCATCAATCAGAGGCTCTGTAGCATTCACATGCAATTTGAAGCTTTTTGGCAGAATCTTATCCCATCTTGATCGAAGAAGTACGAAGATATGATCTCGCATGGCAGTACAAATCGAAATTCACAGTCTGGTGTTTAGTTGCTCAAGAGAGCGAGAGAGTGACGGATGTAAGTAACCAGAGGGTGATTTGAGAAACACTGACAGCAATCCACAATCGTCAAATATTGGAAATGGCTATGCGCAGCGTATAAATGTCGGATCGTAAAAAGAATGCCGTGGGTCTCGAGTAACATGATACTCTGGCCATGATCTGGCCGTATCATCACTGACATAGTCCCACTCAGACCTGCTTGTTTTCAGCTATTGCGAACCGCACACTCCCCTCCGCACTTACATCAGTATCAGCTCTAGTTGCGATTTTACTTTTCGCGCTTGGACTCTGACGATCCTCGAAGCAACTTCTTCAAAGAAGGGAGGTAGAGAGATAGCTAGTGTCATCTTCTCTAGATTTGGGAAACGCGCTCTTCGCGCTCCCAGGTTGACTAGCTGTGACAAACACTGTGCCTCATCCGAATGCATAAGGTTTCGTTCTGTAGGGTTCAGATTGCCTGTCGCGACAAGGTGGCGCAGATACAACGTGCGCAACGAAGCTGGCAGGCATGACGGACCGAGCTCCTGGCTCCTCAGCTTCTCCTCTTGACTTGACCTGTGCAGACACATTGTATCAATCTCCAGGCTCTTGAGTTGCGACTGCTTGAGAATCTCTCTCGCATCGAACGCGCCGCTGACGGCCACGTCACCCTGGTAGATGTAGTCATGGTTCACATCGTTGCATTTGAAGCTGAAAGAGCGGAGACTGGTCTCAAATGCATGTCTAAAAGCATACACTAGACACCGAAAGACTGGGCCGTTGAGTGTATGTTTCCTTTCTCCCTCGTAATCGCTATGAATACGCAAGCTTTCCAAGTTGCGAAAGACTGCAGCAAATTTCCAAATCTCGTCGCAATCTTCCCACCAGGTCTCGGGATCCGAAAAGGACATCTCAAGACTCGCGATGGCCGTGTTGGCGATTCCCCAGTTGATGGAACTAGCATCATCGATTTGTCTGGCTACAACACCAGAAAGACACAGTGCTGTTACTGATGGAAGCTGCAGTATGGGCAAAAGATCTGAAGTCTTGCAAGACGTGAGGTCCAGATCCAACTTGTGCAGACCTGGTAGATGCTGAGCAAGACGCAACACTTCATGTGTGATGTTACAGGATTGCTTGATACAAAGCTCCCGAGTATATTGTGATAGTTCAGAGCAACACCTTATTGTCTGCAAGAACTGGTCTTTGTTCTTCTCCAATAGGACAATAGAGTGGTACAGATATGGCTCTGTGATGCGATGGAATTTGCGTGATACCATGGATAAACTGACGAGGTCTGCATAACGAACACCATGCCGGTCTGGTAAAGGTTTCACGGCCTCGGAAATAATATGATCCAGAAGCTCCTCGGATAGACTGTCCATGGCGAAAGAGGGGTAATGTTGTGAAGGAATGCTCTCAACTCTCTTGCGAAGTAGCCAAGCAGGGGTGCTTGTGGGGGTGCGGGGGCAATGTTGATTAGCAAATCCCTTATCTGATGTGTACTAGATTTTATTGGATGGGACTCTTTGCGGGTGTCGAAGATACCTGGGTTTTGTGGACACAGACGGGAAAATCGCAGCCAAAATCAACATGTCCTAGGTGGGCGAAGCTGAGGTAGTTGGGGATATCGTATAATTTTGACATATATACAGGCTGAATGTGTCCGTGTGGCAAACAGAGAGCTGAAATCAGCGTCAGGCCGAGTGATCCGCCCTATTATAGCAGCAGATATCCTCCGCTACCTTGGAACACCTACACCTCTGCTTCAATTGTCAAATCAAAGCATCATTTTACTCCACAGAATATTCTTTCTAAATTTCAAGCACTTATGCCGATTTTCAACGACTGGGACTTTCCTTTACTCCCTTCTGAGGAGCAAAGGCGGAGGCTCCTTGCGCATGAAGCTGCGGCGGCATCACCCTCGAAAAAACAAAACTCGCATGCGACAATCAAAGACTTACCTGACGAGCTCATCCTTGAGATACTGGAGTACTTGTCAGATACGGAAACCCACAAAAGAAAGATTTCAAATGCTCTGAGTTTGGCATGCACGAGCCGTCGTTTTTACCGCATTGCAATCACAGAGGCTTATGCGCTGTTCGACCCACGCTACTGCAACGCCTACCTGTTCCTCCGCACCTTGATATCGAATCCGCAACTGGCCGCACTCGTACAGCACGTGAAGAGAAATACCTTGGAGGACAAATATAATCCGCGATACGAACCAACAGCGCAGGACAAGAGGGTGATCAAAAAGGCTGTGCAGGCCCTCGAAATCCGCTATTGGAGAAAATGGGTAGACAAATGCAACAACGACCCTGGAAGTTACGAAGTACTGACGGGCATAATCCTACTATATTTACCGAATGTACAGACCATCACGTATACTGGCTATGATCGGTCCAAGTCTCTCGCGAACGCTCCCGACTGGTCATTCTTTATGAACGAAGCACTCGGTTGCGAAAATGGGAAAATCCATCACTTTGAAAATCTACAAGAAGTCACAGTCCATGCATTTGACTTGCAATTGTTTACTCTCGCGCCTTTGTTCAGGTTTCAATCATTGCGCATGCTACGGTTAATAGGAATCGCGGAGTTCCACTCTTCCCGTCGAGGAGAGAGCAATGCTCGGACGCTTCGAGGAATGATAGACAAAAGGGAAAATAATATCGAGACACTTTCTCTAAACGACTATTTTTACACTAAAAGCTGTTTGGATTTCTTAATCTCAACTTCACGGCATTTGAAGGCTTTTGAATATGCCATATCTGTGGACATAGTACCGTGGTTCAATGGATCGCCCGTATCTATTCTTCGTAAGCTAGCCAAGAGTCTACGGCCTCATCAGAAATCGCTAGAAACTCTTACGGTTTACTGCGAGATGGAAATAGAAAGGAAAACGCCTGGCCGACTTCACAACCACAGCGGCCTAACCGAGTTTACATCGTTGAAAGAACTCAGTTGCCCTTTGGGTACACTGGTAGCGGAATATGGTAAAGAGTTTATAAATGGACTACCGTTGTCGCTTGAGTCATTCCGAACGCGTATCCGAGCTGACCCAGAAGACCGCAACCACCTTCGTTCATTAAAACACCTGTTGGCCAGCAGTGCGACTCATACACCTAAGTTGCGTGAGGTTCGAGTGTTGTTACTACACTCTGACAAGAGACTTCTTGAGACACGTCTTTGGAAGCACCTTACTGAACTGGCTCGTGGCGCGGGGATTAGCTTCGAGTATGATTTGGTAGAGGATGACTTCTATGGCGGATATACAGACGATGAGAACACGTTTGGTTCCTCGGACGAGATGAACATAGACAGTGATGAGTTCAACAATGAGTCGGATGATGATAGTGAAGAGGATGATTGCAGCAGTGACGAGTTTGAAGACTATGAAGATTTTGGTGGAATTGACGGGTATGGTGGATAGGATCCGTACGCAGAGGAAGAGTATAAATGTGTTCGACCCACTTGACTTTGAACATCCAACATGCATCCACTCGTATAAACCGCCTGAGGACGTCCACAAAATATTTCAAATGCATTTGAGGAAAAAGCAGCCTACCATCCTTAACCAATATCCCTGCATATCCAATTGTATATGCCTCAAGGCAAATACAACCGCATATCCCCAGTTCCCAGTCAACCTCGTGTATCCCACGCACGCCACGTTTACAAAGCTGAACGACAAGACTACAGAACCCAGACTTTGAGTTTCAAGCATACGAAGATGCCTTAAATTACCGCAATCCTTTTTCATGTAGAAATCACCTGTCGAGGTTTCACCACCAACCTTGTGAAACGGATTCTGCAACCGGGTATTTATCAATTCAACTCAATCAAAGACGAGAGCTGAAAGCAAACCCCAACTTCCAACAATTTAAATGCAAAAAAGCCTGGTGATACGGAGGGAGTTTGTTGAATAGAAATTGGACAAAAGAAATATCAGTAGAAAACCCTTGCATATAAAATGTCAGCAAAAACACACCACTTTCACACCCTATAATCTAGTGATATACTAAGAATCACCACGTTTTTTTTTGGTTTTACTGTTCTCAAAAAGAATAACCCCCCCCCCCCCCCCAAACATAAACTTCACCGGATGATGTTTCTTCCCCTCACGTAACCACCCCCTCGTCTCGTCTCGGCCGACTATCCTCGTCTCGGAACGCTAGCACTTTTAGGCCCCCACCCCACTACGCCCATGTAAAAGTGCTCGCCACAACCCCGTGCCTCATACATGCGGATTGCAGCATGCATGCAACGCACGCAGCCTGAAAAACGGTACTTAGTGGAGCCGGGGGGGGGGAGGGAAGGAAGGGATCGTCTGAGACGGGGCCAAGCGCCAAATTGAGGGGGGACGGGGAGTTAGAAAGGAGGGGAGGAGGAGGAGGGGTCCAGAAACAAGAGGGTTACTAAAGCTAGTAGGATTTCTGGCTACGACACACACACACGGCCCGTAGTATCGGCAATGGTAATTGCGGGTGTTTTTATATGTAAACTCGATACGACCCCAGTTGGAGGAATCAAAAATCCCATTTCGAATCAACGCCTCCCTCTCTCACAGATAACCTTTGCATATATACAAAAAAAAAGAATTGCAAGACATATAAGAAAAAATGACAACAATCAAAGTCATCAAACCCGACCCCTCCTACACGGTCCCCCTCCTCATAAACGGCCAAGAAGTGACCACCAGCACAACCTTTGCCGTCACCTCGCCCTCCTCGCACAAAGACCTATGGCGCGCCTCGTCCGCCTCCCCCTCCGACGTAACCTCAGCCGTCAGCGCCGCCAAAGCCGCCTTCCCAGCATGGTCCAAAATGAAGCACTCTGCCAAACGCAACATTTTCCTCAAGGCCGCCAGCGTGATTGAGGCGCGCGCCGACGAATTCGCAGACTACATGAAGCTCGAGACGGGGGCGGGGGATATGTTTGCGAATGGGTTCAATGTGCCCAAGATGGCGGATATGCTGAGGGATGTGGCGGGGCGGTTGAGCGGGGTCATGGGGCATATTCCGAGTTGTGAGGAGGAAGGGACGAGTGCGTTGATTGTGAAGGAGCCGTTTGGCGTGGTTTTGGGAATTGCGCCTTGGTATGTTATATTTTTGCCCCTTTGTACCACTTTTATCCATAAAAAGGTGGGTATGATGTGCTAATTCGGATTGATTTCCTTTGCACAGGAATGCTCCGTACGTTCTTGGTATGCGCTCTATTCTCTACCCCCTCGCGGCGGGCAACACGTGTATTCTCAAGGGAAGCGAGCTGTGCCCCCGCACATGGTGGGCTATCGGAAGTGCACTGAGTGAAGCTGGGCTTCCTGCGGGCGCGCTGAACGTGCTGTTCCATCGACCCGAGGATGCAGCGCAGATTACCACTGCGTTGATTGAGGAGCCGGCTATTAAGAAGATCAACTTTACCGGATCCACGGCTGTCGGGCGGATTATTGCGTCAACAGCGGGTAAGAATCTTAAGCCTGTGCTGCTGGAGCTGGGGGGCAAGGCTAGCGCTATTGTGCTGGATGATGCAAATCTGCAGACGGCAGCGGTGCAGTGTGCGCTGGGTGCTTTCTTGCATGGAGGTCAGATTTGCATGAGTTCTGAGCGCATCTTGGTGCACAAGGATATCAAGCCACAGTTTATCGAGGCGTTCAAGGGCGCGGTAGAGGGCATCTTTGGTGGCGATAAGCCAGCGCCCGTTCTCATAGCTGCACCTGGTGTGGAGAAGAACAAGAAACTCATTGCCGATGCGGTCAAGAACGGAGCAAAGGTTGTGCAGGGCGACTACGAAAAGGACGAGAAGCACCCCGAGACAAACGAGACATCAGCCACACGCATGCGTCCTGTCATCGTCGACGGCGTGAACAAGAACATGGAGCTTTTCCATACCGAGTCGTTTGGTCCCTCGGTGTCCGTCATTGAGATTTCGAGCGATGAAGAAGCCATTGAGATTGCTAATGATACCGACTATGGTCTTTCTGGGGCTATCTTTACCGAGAACCTTGGCCGAGGACTGAGAATCGCAAAGCAAATTGAGAGCGGGTAAGTAGCAGCTTGTGGTGACTAAGTTGCAGTTGAGATGCACGTGCTAACACTAATACAGAGCTATCCACATCAACTCCATGACTGTGCACGACGAGTGGACTCTACCTCATGGCGGCGCAAAGGCGAGTGGATTTGGTCGCTTCAATGGCCACTGGGGTATCGAAGAGTTTTTGCGCCTCAAGACCATTACCTACAAAGAGTAGGTTCCATGTCAGGGTGGTACTCGAAAAGCGTCGTAGACTCCTAGTTATGCAAAAGGAATAGAATAAACAAGTCATTAGCGGATGACACGAATGGGAATTGCTGTCATGACTGAAGTTCCGTGACGTCCGTGGACCATTACTCGGAATATACTACGGTGGAATGATCACCTCCGGCCTTTATGATCGCCGTGCATGACATAATGCCTGCTAGGCTCCCATTCTAATAGGTTCTTCGAGAAAACACAGCTTATCATTATGTTATCGAGAACGTAAGCGCCTTTGCGGGGTTGGTTGTTGGAGTTGCAGCAATAATTCCCGACAAAAAGCTCCATGAATGGTCTTGTTTCATGTACCTGATGTTTGGTACGCAGCGGCGGGCGTTACCCGAGTCCAATCATCCAGAGGCTTTGGCCAGCTCCAGTCGTGGCTGACTGTGGCATGCATATCTTACGATCTGGTGCAGAGTGGCGTGGGGACTAGGTTGGTCTCTCTGCACGTGGCTGCATTTGCTTTGCTACAATCACTATGCAGGTCGAGGAGAGAGGGGTCGGAGCTTATTGCTGCCCTCGGTTTTTTTTCCAGAAAGTTCGCGTGTGATTATTCCATCAGGGTGTCGCGTGTACCCAAAGGGCCCGAGCATTTGTTTATGAGGGGGCTGGGAAGGAATACTAGTCGAACGTTGCGGTATGCATGTATGTTGGCCAGTAGGCCGGCCAGGGTCTGGCCTAGAGAAGCTTTCACCCATCAATCGGACTCTGACGCTCCGTGTCAGGTAGACTGGTGATTGGCTTTGACCGGTGAGGGTAATCGCCCCTTTTGTCGGTGCCATGGCGTTGTTTTGCTCTACGACGCGTGTGCTATTCGCTACACCTGAGGTAGCACGGATGTGTGAGCTGGGACTAACGAGGCCCGGGATTCGCTACACGGGATATGCGGGCGCACTCAGGCCCAGGCGAGTGGTAGTCGAGTCGTCTTACCACCAGCTACACTGCCCATGTAAGGCACCCACCGACCGTGTATGGCGAGGGCTGTGTGATGGGCACGTGCCAAGTGTGTAATGGCAACAAATACGCGTCGAGAGAAGGACATTTGGCATGTAGTACTAGGCGCCCGGCGTTTTGAGGAGCCGTAGCGATCGACAGGATATGTAGCTGTCAGAGACGAGGCAAAAAGAGAGACGGCGAAGAGAGTCGAGAAGGAACTACTGCACGCCCGGGGCCCTGGCGAACAGGTAGGTTCGAGAGCAGCATGCCGTGTGCCGAAGCAAAAAGACGGTATGACAGTCTGGGAGTACCTGGGCGTTGGCAGTAGAGTTTTGTGGCCGCAGGCGTATGGTTGGACAGGTGTAGGTCCACTTTACCAGGCACTTTGGTACCAGCGACGGCCGTGCCCTTCCCGCGTCATGGGCAGGCAGAGTTTGGGAGCATGCGGCTTGCCAGGGCGGGCCGGAGACAAGGACGATGTTGGTAGTCAGGCCAGCGGACAAGGGCCAGTGTGGTGCATTGCGTGCAGGGCGAGTGGAGCCAGGTGTGCGCTGGACGACGTGGACTTGTCTGCTTGCGGCTTGGGAGGTGCATGCTAAATAAAGCCAGGCGCAGACTTGCGCGAGGGGGAGCGCCGGGGCTCCGCCAACGGTAGGTAACAAGACGACTCGACCTGCACCGCACCCCTCTCTGCTGCCTTCGTCCTGTCCCTCCAAGCCGGACGGGGCTCTCTTGTTCGTGCTATTTCTCTCGCTTTGCGCTGCGTTGCTTTTGTCTTGACCCGTCCATCTGCTTGCGAGGGCTGCCGACCTTGTTCTCCCACGCGACTTACTACTTAATACCACACGCATACACCATACGTACAACATACATATCCAGAAAGAGAAGAGCGCGTTATACAGAAACAGCCTCGCACGCGTAAACAACAATAATGGCGTCGGACCAATCCCAGGCACTGTCGAAAAAGGTGTCGATATTCCGACGCTTCTCCAGACGAGACCGAGGCGATACCCCTCCATCGCCTTTTCTCATGAACCAGGGCATCCGCCCGCCTGTCCAACGAGCACCACGAAGACTGCAGCGTAACCGCTCCCACGCACCCGCTCCTGTCGGCCTCCTCACACCACCGCCATCTCCACCAGAGAAAAGTTCCTTCGACTCCAGCGAGACATCCACACGTTACCGCCAGCCTGCTCGCAACCACCTCACCACCCCTCCACATTCGCCAGGCTCGCGAGAACGCGTCGTGCCCAACACTCTACTCACCAAGCCCTTTCCCGGAAACCCCCAAATCACATCATGGAACATCTTCCTTCCCCCTTCGCAAATATACTCGCTCTATCTTGGCCACGCCCCTCAGGAAATGGAGGATAAGTGGTTCATCTACAGTGAGGGGCCAGACCAGGCCGGCAAGCTCAAAGTCCACTTTCACCGGAGTTGGACGGGCATCAAGGTCGCTGAGCTGTTCGTCGTCATGGACACAAAAGGTGAGGGTGCAGGCAAGATTGTCGGCATCAAGTGGAATGGCGGCGAAGACATGAACTGGATGAGCGAGGAAGAGGCCAAGTACATGATCCGCACCGCCTGCCGATGGCAATTGAATGTTCACTTGGAAGATTGAGAGAGAGAGAGTGAGAGTGAGAGCGAGTTTGAGACGGCCTGACGAATTTGTTGTTACCAGGCCGACGTTTTAATGACTGGTGTTAGCGATGCCCCAACATGTTAATATGGCTTGCTGCGATTTTCAAAAGAGGCTCTTTAGCCCTCGTACTACGAAGTATGACCTTTTCCGAATATACGATTTATGAATGTCTGACCTGCTGCCTTCTTTTGCTTCCAGATAACAAGTATATGAATGTTTGACCATGTGACTTTCCTTTTTCAATGGACTCTCTTCAGACAATGAATTTTGCTGACTTTTTTGGCATTTATTATTTCGTTGAGTGCATTAACGCGACAATGCTTACCTTTTGGCTTGCACCATGGAGGCATTGTTGTACCGCACTGCTGCCATGCATGCATCCACCCTAGGTGACTTGGGTTTTTTTCGCCCCAGATCGTCGCATCCAGGTCGCCTGCCCCCGTATAGCGACCCAAAAGGGCTGCGCATGGTGACGGCCTGGACTGCTGCGGCGCCGTGGGGGCTGGCAGCCACACCAACTGCACGTCTGCACGCCCCCGACCAGTAGAGGATTCCTTCGCCTCTTGTCATTTCGGTTTTGCTGCTCCTCACCCCCATTTCTTCCCCCCGCACAGCCCATGCCATCGCCGAGTAAACCACGACGTATCCAGTCGATTCGGCCCGAAAATGCATACCAACTTTGTACCTGCATCCGACAGCTCCTCGCCCCAACCCCAACGCCTTCCTGTCAACCCAAGACGGCACAAGGTCGCGCCCGACCAGAGAAAACGTGTCGTGAGGGCGTAAGTAGCATTCCGTCATGGGCCACCGTGCCAGAGATTTGCTCCCGAGTGATGCCAGTCTGGCCGTTGAAAACGTCTGGAAGAGCAAGACTTAGCAAGACGCCCCAGCACCGCCACCACCACCGCCCTCGCTACAAAGAAAGCACCCCTCCACCGGACCAGGACTAACATTCACCACGCAGATGCAATGCCTGTAATGTGCGCCGTGTCAGATGCTCTGGCGAACAGCCTTGCCAACGATGCCACAAAACTTCGCGGGAATGCGAGTATCCAGCGCCCGAGTCAGACAAACTCTCGCTCAAGGACGAGCTGGAGCGCCTGCGAAGAAGATGCGCAGCACTCGAGGCTGGCTTTCAATCAGCAGCTCCAGAAGACGCAGCAGAGCTCATTGCCCAACTCGACCATGCCCCATCTGTATCACGCCAGAGTGGTCCTACCTTTCCATCCGTGTCCATGGATTTGGACCAACCTGATGCTAATGATGGCCGCCTACTCGTCGACCCTTGCGGCACCCAGAGATTCCTGGGCGAGACGTCTGGGGCGACTTTTCTCGATTATTTGAAACAGTTCATGTTAACCCTAGTGCCTTTGACCTTCCAGCCGGAGTCGGCAGATGGGTCTTCTTTTGTTGCGTCTATAGGTCGTTACCAGACGTACGACTCGAGGCCGATCCCAAACCCCAATGTGGACCCCCTGTGGTTGCCTGATTGGGCAGACATGAACTTGATGCTAGCAGAACTGCGGTCCTATGTCCAAGACGGCAAGGACGGATTCTTGTCTGGTGGCATTTACTGTAAGCCATTGGATGCAATAGCCGACACAAACCCACTGATGTCTTCCTCTAGGGTGGGGCGACCTCAACAATCCTCCCACGCACACAGCCAGCTCTGTCTCGTTGACTTCGATGACTACAGATGACACACACAGATACCTAGCTTTCTATCACGTGTGCTTTGCTCTGGCCACGTCAATCGGCCACCCTCTGTTTCGAAAATCAGATCAACATGCCGGTGAAGCCTACTTCAAGCGCGCACGCAAGCTTCTGGGTAACCCTCTGGACACTGTGCGCTTTACCCTGAGTGATGTTCCAGTGCTAACTCTTATGGGTTTCTACTTGATTGAACTCAACCGTAGAGATGCGGCTTACGTATATGTCAGTAATTCCCTTGCAAGCAGCGTGTACCAAATGCATACTTACTTGGAATTACCCCGTCCAGGTCAGCCTGGCGATCCACATTGCCATGATTCATGGCGCATTCAGGTCCTGCAAGGATGAAGAGAACAAGCGCATCTTTTGGACATTGTACATTCTGGACCGATGGCTTGCTGTCCTTATGGGACGCCCGCCGACCATAGCTGACGAAGCAATTCGGATTCCTCTTCCATGCGATGAAGGGTAGGTATCCTGCGTTGAAGTATATTACAACGAAGTTAGCCGCTGATACGCCTAGTTCACTGCCACCGTCTGTGGGCCTCCGTGCACACGTTGAACTATCCCGCATCGCCGGGTACATTGTCTGCGAGACGTTCAAGATTGCTCCTCGTAACTTTAGACCTGGCTATTCAGTCACGAATATAGACAAGGCCCTCAAGATGCTTGGAGAGTGGAATTCGGAACTCCCGTCAGTGCTCGCGAGCGGAGAAGGTGCAGATTCCGCCGTGCTGTGTCTACATATGGCGTCCAACCAGCTTATTGTGCTAACGACACGCCCAATCTTACTAGCAGCCGTCAAACAAGCTGTAGCCGAACGGTACATTAACGGCCAATGGTCGTTGCAAACTCATGTACATGGCAAGCATATCCACACTTGTATAGAGGCAGCTCATCAAAATATCATGTTGGCCCAGCGATTGTGCCAAGTGCGAAAGCTGCTCCAAGCTGGCTTGCATTTTGTCTTCAATGCTGGCGTCGTCCTGCTACTTGAACAAATACTCCAATACTCCGGTGGGCACAAGACACCGACCCCAAGTATACATACGCCTGAGATTGAATTTACAATTCGCACATTTGAGAATGAGTCAAGAACGGGGACAAACTATCCCCGAGACTGCTTCAAGGTTCTCCAAGATCTCAAGGCCTTGGTGGATCGGTATCTGTCCCACGATCATGGGAGGTTGGAGCCGGGAAGCTATCCTCATGGCGCCCCCAACATTCCCGGTCCGCCTCATGCGGCGCCACAAGACGCTGGAATGCAGGGCACCACGCCAGGTCCTGGTGAAAACAACGGCTTGTACCAAGAGATGAGGACGTGGATGCAAAACGACAGGCTACAAATGCATCACGGCCTACCCATGTGAGTGGTGGGCCGCGGAGATGCCTTCCTAGCCAATGTCATGATGAGGCACCGGCTCGCTTGTGGCTGATGGGGACTTTTTTTTCCACGAGCCGCAGCATGACCGGCCTATAATATGGTTGGCGTGACTCACCGTGCAGAGGCTCTTTGACAGCTTGCAGCTGGGAGCTGGGAGAGTCGTAGTGGTCAGCTCAAAGGGGACCAGGATCCTGCTGATGTAATCCTGGCCAAGCAAGACACCACACCAGCATCCCTATTCGGGAAGGAGGAGAGAAAGAGGCACGGTCACGAGCCATCACCCTTGCTGACATGGATGCTGCAATCGATACTCACCCTACACCCCCGGACCATTTTATACGCAGTACGCCCAGTCCTGACGACCGCACCCCTGGACTTTGCCCTAAGAACCCTCCAAGAGAATCTGATCTGGCTAGGCACATGTAACCCAGCCATCGAGGATAAGCGCGCATTAGCAGACAGGCCGCTTGCCAGGCTCAACACCCTGATTGGCCCGTCTACGTGTTTTTTCCCCGGCTCGATCGGGAGCCTGTTGCATGCCAAGGCTCTACTACATCGCCAGCGTCGGCCAAGCTGCTCCACGGAATATTATATAAAAACGTCACTAGGAACGTGAGCAGCGGACGAGGCTGACCATGACTGTCAAAGTGAATCAGGTTCTTTGCGCTTGGTCGCTTTCACTGTGGAGCCTGCCTAAGTCATGGCCCGTTTGCAAGAGAATGAGTGTGAGCCCTTGATTCCCTGTAGTACTTGTACTCGCAGCTTGAAGTCTGCTGCTGTAACAGCCACCAACCTGGTCGAGTCGTCGACAATGTCAACCGGCGATCAGCCCACTTGCCTTTCTGGCGAGCCTACATCTAAGCATGTCAATAGAAAAATCGATATCGCTCTCCTACCCTTTCTGTCACTACTTTATCTCCTGAACGGCCTCGATCGATCTAACGTGGGGAATGCTGAGACTCAGGGTATGTCAAGATCTCGCATTGTTGATCGCAGCAGCTAACCACACGCTGCCCATAGGCTTTACGACAGACATCGGTGCTACCCCGGATGATCTCAATCTTGCAGTCTCGCTTTTCTTCATCACCTTTGTCCTGCTACAGCCTCCCTCAGCTGCGATGGGGAGATGGCTTGGCGCAAAGCATTGGATCACCATCATCATGGCAAGCCCCACCACTTATGCTTACATCATGTGGCTGGTGTCCTGACTTGTGTCCCAGATTGGGTGGGGAGTCTTCACAGTAGCACATGCCTTCATTCGTGGCCGGAGAGCGCTTATTGCTGTTCGGCTCATGATTGGAGCATGTGAAGCCGGCTTCTATCCTACTGCTATCGCATACCTCTCAACCTTCTACTGCCGGTACGACCTCGCAGTCCGTATAGGTCTGTTCTATGGCCAGTATGCAATAGCTGGCGCTTTCTCGGGATCAATTGGTACGCGGTCAGCATAATGGACAGTAGCAATACTCAAACTGATAAACATGTGATTAGCATTCGGCATTTTTCACCTCAATGGCACTATACTGAAAAACTGGCAATACCTATTCATTATTGAGGGGGGTATCACCATAGTCGTTGCATTCGTTGCTTGGTTTTGGTTGCCCCAAGGGCCGGGATCAGCCTGGTTCCTTACAAATGAAGAGCAAATATTCGTCACACAACGCATCATCAAGGACAATGCCCCCTTCATCGATCATGAATACAGCAACGATGGTATACATAAAAAACGCCTTACAAGACGGGACATTGTGGAAACAGCCAAGGACTGGAAGCTTTGGTTTATCCTGGTGTTCAATATCTGTGCAAGTGTACCAAGCCAAGCATTCTCCGTCTTCATGCCTATGGTTGTTCAAGGCTTAGGATACTCATCCATCGAGGCAAACCTGGTAATCAAATCCATTTTCTCGAATTGAATGGTGCAGAAAATAACTAATTCAATTTGTTATAGATGTCTGTACCCCCTTTCGTTTGCGGTGCTGTAGGCCTCTATCTGTTTGCCCTCAGCTCAGATCATCAGTATATACTCCCAAGTCAAGTATCATGGGCTTTGCTAATTATGCCGTCAGGAAAGAGCGAGGCTATCATATCATCATGGGAACATGCATCGCGCTAGTGGGTCTTGTCGTAACTGTGACTACGCAGTCCCACAGCATTCAGTACATAGGTCTATGCATCCTGCTGTTTGGCAGCTACGTCTCAGCCCCTCTTACGGCAGCCTGGCTGAGTGGGAATAATCCTGGTAAGTCAGGAACAGCCCCACTTGGCCGATCGTCGCATCAACATTAAAGATCACTATGCTAATTAATCCTTTTAGAGCCAGGTAAGCGCTCCCTTGTCTTAGGGGTAAATGGGTTCGGCAATCTTGCAGGTGTAATTGGCAGTCAGCTGTACAAGAAGAAACATGCACCAAGATACCTCACGCCTTTTTACGCTACATTGGGATTTGTTGCAGCTGCGCTTGCAGGCTACATAGCTTACAGGTATATTCTCAAGGCCACCAATGCGAAAAGGCTGGCGATAGCGAATTCGATGAGCGCAGAAGATGTAGAAGCAGAGCGTCTAGATCGGACTAGATATGCGGACGCAAAGTGGACATTCTTGTATGGGCTGTGAGGCATTGGCTGTCTGGCGCACTTCCTATAGAAGGTTCATTCAACTTTTGTGAAAGGTCTGTCACAAGACATAGAGATTGAATACACAACACCTAAGATAGAAGAATAGTTGTCTAATGTCTTTGAACGTGCTACCTTACAGTACACTGAACCCTCACTCATTAAGATGCCTCGGCCCGCGGCGTTAAGACCGGAGATACTAACAGTGGGGTACAATGCCAATGTCATGCATCACCGTCGTACCAGTTACACGGCGCAAGTTAGCCCATCTTCCCTTCAAAGCGTCCTATTTTCGGCCCCGATAACTTCAATCGGCATGTTCCAATTCTCATCACTTGTCCCCAATCCCTTCTCATCACGATCTACACGTCTACTGCAGTCCTCTGACCCGCCGCCATCGCCACCACTACCACCCATGGCCGACGACGCACCCGCCCCGGCCCCAGCCTTCCCTTTCCTTCGCCTCCCACTAGAGCTCCGCGAGCAAGTCTATTCCCACTACTTCCACCCTGGCGACCACCTCGTGCGCAACACTGCGCTCGAATCAAAGGGTTTCTTCGGCGGCGTCTACCACTGGGACCTCGACGTCTTCTACGTAAACAAGCAGATACACCGGGAGAGCAAGCGCGTGTGGCGACGCGAAAACATCTTTGTCAAGATCGCGACACCATGGCCGAGTGCTGGTATGTATCGTGTTTATCTCTTGGCTACGGACGGGGTGCCCGAGCAGCTCCATCAGTATGGCGGTATTAGCTTGTCTGGTAGTCATCGTGAGCTCTTCTCCCCCCCTTCATGTCCCTCTTCTACCTTTCAACTTATCCCCCCACTTTCTGAGAAAAAAAGCGTCATTTGAAGGGGAAACGTGGGGATTTCAAGGCTGATTGTTGATGTTTTGAGTATCTCTAGTCAATCATATCTCATCAGAGGGCTTGGTGCCGATTGTATGTGCGGATGCACAGGCGAATGCGTTTACGGGGCATCATGCTGTGGTGCAGATTGATTCGCCGATGCAGATTGTAACGCCGGAGCATATGGTTGTCATGCTGGCGGATGACTTGCCGTTGTTCACACGGACATGGTATTACAGTGCGTTGTCGTATCCGACGCTGAACGAGCGGCTGAACACTACGTTTATGCTGCGGAATCCAGCGAAAGCAGACGAGGCCAGCGAGGAGGATAGAGAAGAGCAAGGACAAGAACAAGAACAAGACGAGCTTGGAGTCCCCCTCGCCGTCCAGCGAAAACTCCTCCTCCCATTCGAACACGTAAAGGGCCTCCACGGCTCCCTCTTCATCGGCTTCTCAAACACCGTCCAGTCGGAACTCGCGCGCCTCCAGGCCCGCCCCATCCCCTCCCTCGAGCAAAGCCTCGAATCAGCAACAGACTATCTAGCCGCCGGTGACGCCGCGCTAGCAAAGTCCACAGAACCCACCGCCCTCGAAGCAATCGAGCTCTATAAGAAAGCCTTTCACGCAATTCATATCTTAATCCACGGCCGCACCCGCCGCGTCATGGCTGACGTCTTCTTCCAAGAGGCAGTCTCCCACGGCCGCTACGCAGGCCAAACCGGCATCACCGTCCGCGTCGTCCTGCGCCTCAAACTCGTCTCTCGCTTCCTCGCAGCCTACAACCAGTTATCTCGTTGGGACGACTCCGCCTTTTGGGGCATGCGCAGCGTCACCATCCTCGAAGAATCGCTCAACCCCGATTTCGAAATGTTCCTAGCAGAGGTCTTGGGTGGCTCTGACGTCGGCATGATTTACCTCCGCACCGGCATCGCGTTCTGGAATATGGAAAATAAACGTGAGGACTGGATGGGCGAATTGATTAGTTATGCGGATGATGAGTTAGCGGGGAGTCGCCGCTTGTGGGATGCAGCGGTTAGGTTTCTCAGGCATGCGAATAAGGAGGAGGCCAGGAGCGAGTTGCTGGCGTATGGCGTCCCGCGGGAGACGGTGGCGCTGTTTGCGGATGTGCAGGCGCCGAGGATGGATGTGGAGAGTATGGTTGCGAGGGATGGGAGTAGTACGAGCGAAGAGTAAAGTAAGCAAATAGACAAGATACATTGAGCAAGTTGGGGAAGGAAGGGGGAGGGGGGGGGGGCTTAATATCAGTCCCCCACTTTTTTTTGTTGTTCAAACTTGTATACGTGCAATGGGTAGTGTTTTCTTGTGTGTGATCATTTACTATTCCAACATAATATATAGTACAATAAAGTCTTCTCTCCCGCCCCGCGCGCGCGTCGTGATAGCATAACCCGCGCACGGTCAACTTTCTTCTTCCTTTTCCTTTGTTCCTTTCAGAGGACTGTGGTATCAAGAGTGGAATACATATGCGTTCTTTTCGTAGTTGGTATCTTTTCATCCTCATTCAATCACCAAATGGATAGAGATTTCTTATTTGGTCTGAGTTGGCTGTGCGCCTGCCTGATGACTAGCAGCAGCTTCCTGTGCAGAGGCTGCAGAGGGGACGGTAGCAGATTGCGGTGCGGCGCCGCCTAACCAGCCAAATGCACCCGCCTTCATATCCTTGAGCTGGGCTTCCTGCATCTTCTTCTCCTCCTCAGCCATTTCCTTGAGCCATTGCTCACCATTTTCCCGGATTTGCTTGTCTAGATGGATGTAGTTTTGCTTGTTGAATTCGCGGTACATGTCAATCATCATCTTGCCCTCGTTCATGCCCTGCGAGACGTTCTGGTCGCCGAGGACCATGCCTTGCTTGGCGGTGTCGAGACCCAGACTCTTCATGAACATGCCGCCTGCGCTGCCTCTGCTCTTCTTCTTTTGCTCAGCGAGATCGCGCTGGAATTGCTCCCGGAGTTTGGCTTCTCGGCGCGCGTATTCAGCGGGAATGTCTTTGCCCTCCATGGACTTTAGAACAGTGCGGACATCAATGGGCGTGCCGGTCTGGCTCATCATGGCGAGATACTCAAGGAAAGGAATCATGGCGATAAGGCCCTTGTCGTTGGGGTCGCCTTTCCATTTGGGTAAGACAATGGCGTTCTCCGGCTGGAGCTTGACGTGCGATGGGTCGGTGTCGATAATGATAACTTTTGAGAGGTCGCGATTGAGATAAGAGAGATCCTGAGCAAATTAGTAAAGTGAAAATGTATTTTTTGAAGCAGCTGTGGACGCACCTTGATGTACTCGCCCTTCTCGAAGCGTGTCGCCTCGCGGAACAGAGGCCACATGACGAGGCGGAAGGGATCGAGTTTGCGGATAATAGGGTCGGCGTCCATGGACTTTACGGAGGTGAAGATGACAAGCTCGTACTGTGAGCTGAGGTAGCGCAGGAAGTAGTCAAGGCCAGGTCGCTTTGCTAATCGGTAGCCGTGCTTGGTAGTCCATTCCGAGTGTAGTAGCAGATCTTCCAAACTTAGGACAAGCGTCAGTTCAGGAGCCCCTCCAGGAATTTTGTCCTTGTCTGGTAGCAGTTTTTGGAAGGTGGGCTCAGTGTAGTAGGCCTTTTGTCCATTGATGCGAGCGGCTGCGCGGGCATACATGCGGCCCACTGTCCACCCATTTGGAGCATCTGGATGTGCTGATTCCTCTTCCTCACTCTCCCAGTTCCTTCCCATGAAGACAGCCCCAGTGGTGCCAAATAGCAGCATTCCAAGGTATGACCAGTTGGCAACCCTATTCCGCCGCCTGTCGGTACTTGTCTCGTATGCAGATTTGGGTAGTTCCCCACCCGCGCCTCCTTCACGGCCGCCTGCAGCGCCTGGTATTGGGTCTTCGTTGGGGTCATTCGGGTCCCTCTTTGCCTTGCCTTGAGCTTCGGCTTGCTCTTCAGCAAATGTTGAGGGAATACCATATCGCAGATCGGGTAGAGGTTTTTGTGGCTGTTGTGACTCGGGACTCTCGGTGGTGGGATCGGTGTTCTCAGCAGCCGATTTGGGCCCTGACATCTCGGCGTGCTCTGCGGTGTTGAAATTGTTTCCTGCATCTTGTGACGCCCGGGTGGCGCTCTCAATGGGTCTTGAAGGCTGTGATGGTGTTGTGTTGCTCTCTGGGGATGCTGCAGTATCAAATTCTGGCTGCTCTGAAGAGTTTACCGGGTTCGGCTGCGCCTTGTTTTCCTGGGCAAATTTTATGGGATCCGACGGCTTCCAGGTGTTGTCTTTTGGCTTTCCAACTTTGGCATATGTGCGATTCCATTGCCATGTTGAGGCTATCGACACTGTGCGCGGAGCAGCAAGTACAGGCCGCGTGCGCAGCGCCCGAAAGGCACCTCGCGGCAGCATGGCGGGCAGAGGGTGAAACCTAAAGGAAAGCACAAATTAAGAAGAATAAAAGCGTTGAATAAGCAATGCGCCCGTAAAACACATGGGCTGAAGAATACACGAGGGCGAGGTGGCGGGCGGTATCAATGGGAGTCGAAACCTTCTGCGGTCTTCCGATGAAATAATTGACGGCGAGATTTCTTGGCGCAATGACGCTGCTTCGGCATGTTGTAATCGTGTCCTTCACCCGGTCAACGCTATGCGCCCCCACCCCTTGCAGATATAGGCTTATTGACACGTCTACCCTCCACTGATAAAAACAGTACAGTCTGATGTCGCCTCACGGGCACGCCTTTGCCCATGCGACAGACTGCATGGCCTCTGTGGCGGAATGCGCCAATGCCTAGAGGATCGTCCTTTCAGCTACTATGGACACTCATACTATGCATATGTTTTTGGACGACTCTCGCACGCTGTATGACGGATGAAGCCATAGCAGCCCTAAGGTAACTTTGTGCCATATTGCGCATACAGCCGCGTGCGCTCGCTAATGATACCAGGCAAGAAACACGCGATATATTCGACCATGGCTACGACAGCTACATGAAACATGCATTCCCTGAAGACGAACTACGTCCACTTACATGTGCCCCTCTTACGCGTGACCGCTACAATCCTGCGCACATTGAAGTCAATGACGTCCTGGGAAACTACTCTTTGACCCTGATCGATAGCTTATCCACCCTCGCCATCTTCGCCTCGACCCCGCCGCCCAGCAAAACAGGCGCCAACAGGCCCCTGGCAGAATTTCAAGATGGTGTCAAGCTCCTGGTAGAAAACTACGGAGACGGAAGGCCCGGACCAAGTGGCCAAGGGGCAAGATCAAGAGGCTTTGACCTGGACAGCAAAGTGCAAGTCTTCGAAACCGTCATCCGCGGAGTTGGGGGTCTGCTGAGTGCGCATCAATTTGCGGTTGGAGATTTGCCAATTCGTGGCTACAAACCTACACCGGAGCGCAAGGACGGCAAAGAAGGAATTGTATGGCCGAACGGATTCGTGTATGATGGGCAATTGCTACGTTTGGCCAGAGACTTGGCAGAGCGTCTCTTGCCAGCCTTCAATACACCCACTGGACTGCCATATCCCCGGGTCAATCTGCGTCATGGCGTTCCTTTCTACGCCAAATCTCCGCATAACATGGATGCCGAACACGGACAGTGTGGAAGAGATCCTAATGATAAAGGGACCGAAGTTACCGAGACCTGTAGCGCCGGAGCGGGAAGTCTGGTTCTGGAGTTCACCGTCCTGAGCCGGCTGACGGGCAATCCTCGGTATGAGCAATTGGCCAAGAAGGCTTTCTGGGCAGTTTGGCAGCGCAAAAGCAGTATTGGGCTGATTGGTGCCGGTATCGATGCCGAAACTGGACAATGGGTGAATGCCTACACGGGCATTGGGGCAGGAATCGACAGCTTTTTCGAGTATGCCCTCAAGTCGCATATCTTACTCTCCGGCCTGCCTTATGACGAAGCCAATGCTGCCACTGACTCCCCCGACGCCTTTCTTACTGCTTGGCTTGATGCGCATGACAGCATCAAACGACAAATCTATCGCGGCGCACAGCATCACCATCCCCACTATGCCCAAGTAGATCTTTACACTGGCGCCATTAGGGCATTCTGGATTGACAGTCTCAGTGCATTTTACCAGGGGCTATTGACCCTGGCTGGTGAACTGGATGAGGCCATCGAGACACACTTACTGTACACTGCGCTGTGGACGCGATACTCTGCGATGCCTGAGAGATGGTCGACTGCAACTGGCGGCATCGAGCATGGTTTACGCTGGTGGGGCGGTCGGCCAGAGTGGATTGAATCGACCTGGTACCTTTATCAAGCGACCAAAGACCCGTGGTATCTCCATGTAGGAGAAATGGCGCTTCGCGACATCAAGAGGCGTTGCTGGACCAAGTGTGGATGGGCGGGCCTGCAGGACGTGCGCACTGGTGAACTCAATGATCGCATGGAAAGCTTCTTTCTGGGCGAGACTGTGAAGTACCTCTTCTTGCTCTTCGACCCATCGCATCCGCTTAACAAATGGGATGCACCCTTTGTCTTTACGACAGAGGGACATCCTCTGATCATACCCAAACGCCTAAGGTCAAAGAAAAAGACGGCATCTAAGCTTCAGTCTGACGGGCAGACGGCTGAAACGTGCCCTCTCCCGCCAGCCCACTTGCCATTCAGTATTTCGGCGACTGCGGCTCGTCCTGATGTCTACCATGCGGCAAGTCTGGCAAAGTTGCATTTGATGCCGACGATTGAGACACTGGACTCGCCGTTGGTGGAATTCAACGCAGATCATCCCAGCATCTCAATGTCAGATGTTCGGTCGCCTTCAAACTACACATACTACCCATGGACTCTGCCTCCTGAGCTTGTTCCGCACAACGCTACTAGCTCATCCATGGCGGTTCGGTCAACGTTTGATTTGACGTTTCCCAATATGCCGAGCACATCGCTAGTTGGGGCGCTCCAGAGAGTACAAGAAGGAATCCTCGTCAACTCGATCAGTGGACTGCGGTTTGGCATGGTGCGCGAGCTTGACCAAATGCCTGCAATGGACAGTGCGGTTGAGATGGACGAGCAGTTTCGTATTTATGCCATTTCCAACATTGCCCTGGGACGCGACGAGAAGGTGTTCATGTCGCGATCCACCATGGACAATTTCAATCCACTCGATCCCTTCTTTACTCGGACACGAGACGCTCAGGTCCTGGACTTGGTGATTGATGTCCCGCCAGAGCCGACGTCTGTAGTGTCGAGTGTACTGTCTGACCTGGTCAACGACGTACTTGATGGGACAGGCAACTTGTCTGATATGGATGTTGCGGATGCGGTTGAGTTTGAAGTTGACGCGGAGGCGCTCAAAAGTGAGCCTTCATATCTTTCCAGCCTCCTTTCGTCGCTACAGGCTCTGTTGTCTGCTCCGATGCCTACATCGACGTCGACAGCATCGTGGTCTGGAGGTAGGGATCGGCAGCTTACGAAACGGTATTCTCTAGCGGCAGCGCTCCCGACTGGTCCTGGTGCAGTACCGATGCCGGATACGAAAGATGCAGATCTATCGTACAGCGCGGATAAGGCACTAGCGTGGAAAAAGATCTACGTGCATCCTACTACGCTGTGCAACGAGCGACTCGGAGCGGAGACTGCGAAGCAGTATCAAGTGATTGTGATACCTCGGGGCGACTGCTCGTTTTCTACAAAGCTTCACAATGTGCCTGCATACCCGCCAAGCAGCGCATCTCTACAGCTTGTGGTTATCGTTAGTTTTCCCGAACACGAGGATGGCTACAGTGATGGAGGACGGGCACCCGCTCAACCACTGCTAGACGAAGCACAGCATACGCCGACGGGGATGCTGCGGCCGAACCCTGTACCGCTGGTCATGGTGGGAGGAGGGCAAGCGACCATGGACAAGCTGAAGAGAGCCAGCGGGATGGGGATGAGAAGACGATATCACTTCCGCAGTCAGGGGGTCAAGATTGGGAACCTGATTGTGTTGTAATAGGGATATGGGAGTGTGGCTGTGGCTGTGGCTGTGGCTGTGGCTTGACCGTGGCTGTGGCTGTGGCTTGCGGGTATGTTGGAGGGGGAAGGGTCCGGTTGAATACTTATTCTAAGTACTAATGCCAAAGATGGAATCAAGATTGACACGACCCAGGGTCCAGTTGCAGCGTGGACGTTTGGCTGTCGCACTTGTCACCCGCCTCGGTCCGTTGTGATGTTGTCATAAGTCAGGGGCGGCGGCGATCTCCTCGGCTCGCGCGATGACAAGCACGACATGCCTTTCCGCTTTAGGGAGGTAGAGCAGCCTTGGGCACGTGCTCATCTAACATCGCCGCATCTTGTCTGGTGTTTGGTTGCAGCATCTGGAGCTGTATCGGAAGCCGACCACAAGGAGAAGTTGGCTATATTGACCACGTCCACAAACGGCAGGATACGCCTTTTGTCTCTTGTCTTTGCTCGACCACCTGGTGGCGACTTGTTATCATCGTCTTGGGGTTGGCTCAGCCCTGCATACACGGCATACTACATACCAACTGTACACCCTCACCACCCTCACAGTCTCCACCTTGATGCTCACAGGGCGTCGGGCCTGAGCCTGGCCGGACGAGCTGTGGCCACGATGATGCGCCTCCGCCGTGTCTCTTTGATCTCCAGTGTTCCTGTGCAGCCATGAGGACGGCGTGGTGGGGGCCTCGCAAAAGCATGCTACCGCCAAACGGGCAGGAGGCGACGCCGCCAAGTCCTGCTATCGCGCAGCAATAGCGTGCAATCGTACAGGCTCCACCACACACATGTACCCTACCTATCCAAACCCTCGACATGCCCGCAACCACTACAACCGCCTCAGGCGCATTTCCGCCCTTGGGGAAGCTGAGCAGCTGTGGGGTTCAGCTATACGGGTTCCTGCAGGCTACTGCTGCGAGCAAAAGCACTGCCATGGTCTCATTGCTTGTGCTGGCCTTCCTGTTACAGGCCCCCAGTCCAGGGGTCCCCATATGTACATTTATGCTATACATGTGGGAGCGGAAATAACTATACACCATCCCGCGCCTGTAGCTGCATCTGGAAGGTCCGCCATCTCTCCTCTATATTGTTAGCATACCGATCGGCCAATTTCCTACCTTTCCTGCCTCTTTCTACCAAGTTGCCAAGCAAATCGTTTAACTGGCTCCCGTACGCTTGGGTATAGACTACGCATGAGGCGAGGCTAAGAAAGGAAGCCGGTGATACATCGCTCCTCGTGTAGGCGCCGTTGCCACCAAACGTGATCCACCAAAGCCTGCCCGGCATCGCACCGACACCCTGGCCCACTGCCATCTGCTAGACGTGAATAGGCTGCTTTGGTAGTCACCGTAGCGAGGGAGGCCTACATACAACTTCTATAAGACTCACGCCCTACGCCCTCAGCTGTGTCATCATCCACATCTCGCCACCCTCTCTTCCTTCGTTCCC